GGCGATGAACGCGAGGCTATCAATAATGTACACGCTTTTTCGCCGCGAGGCGAGCCGAGACCCCCGCACCGAGAATCGGCGGCACGTAATTCAGCTCGACGCAAATCGCTTGAAGCACAAATCGCGACAAAAATAAATCGCGCGCGCGCGCGCTTCGTCGTGTGGAATACGCTTGCCAACGCGCGCGCGACCACTACGTTCTCGCACAGAATATTTATAATCTTCCGCCGGTCATGTCCCACGAGCGACAAAAGGAAGAATCAATAGACGTTTACAACGTCACCGGTGTGAGTATCGTCATCATTGCGCATCGCAGCGGTGTGCAATTCAAAAGCGAGCGTCCAAAGGCGCGCACGCGTCAACAAGGCGCGACGCGCCTTTACTTTCAACGTCATCGAGCGAATTTTATCGAGCGGTGCGCGCGCGCGCGCGCGCGCGTTCGCATCATAATTACTGTGCTTTCGCACCAGCGGCTGAACAATTCGGGTCACGCTCGATAGCTCCTACGGCGTCGGATGAGACGTCTAATTAGCCGTGGACGTGCGCATGCACCGTCATTGAGTACTCCTCGCCGTCGGAACAGAGCTCGCCGACTAATCGCAACGGTCTCGCGAACTGCGCATCTCGGTCCGCTGTGTCGCGATCTCTCAAAGAGGGAGAGTTAACGCGGAAAAGCCACGTGCCGCTTAAAAGTCTCGTGCCAATTAAAAAGCGGTGACGCGCGGTCGAATGAAATCTGTGCGCGACGCGTTACAGCGGCGCTTCGGCGGACTAATTTACGGACCGATCAAAGCCGTTTAGCACTTTGCTGGACGGTCGTATATGCATTGTGCTCGACCGGCGCGACAAAGACACCGCCGCGATATGCTCGCGCGCGCACGAGAGAGAGAGAGAGAGAGAGGCGACACATGCGCTGATGAATAGAGAACGGCCTGCTGCACCGAGCATGCAACCGTTCTACTCTAGTGCATCGGTAAGCCTATTAACGCGCTAAGTAAACAGCCCGGCTAATCCGATTGCGTCGAGTGCGCTTACTTTCGCACGTTTTAGCCATTAGCCAGTCGTCGCGCGACTACCAAAGGCGGTGGTGAGTTATCGCCTCGTTGTGTCGTGTCGCACGGGGGTTCGATTATTTTCATTGCGTCGTATTATTCTAATCGCGCACGTGGTCGCAGATGCGATCGCTTTTCCACGGAGCGGCGGCGGCGGCGGCGGCATCTCGTCAACAGGAAAGAAAAAAAAGAAAAGGGAGGAAAGAAGCACCGGGATGTGCAGCTACTCGTGCGCGATAATAAGAATATTCCCCTCCCTCGATGGCCCTTCACGGGAGAACACGTGAGAACACGCTAGGTGTCGAAAACCCACCCCGTGTCCTTGATCGCACGCGCACCCGCGTAACTCTATTAATCCCTCAATGGGAAAAAGCGCTCTCGATTCCGATCGCCGCGCCGATAACTACTTCATTAACGATCCGACGGGTTACTTTCGCGATACTATCGTTTAAGCTCGAATCATTTCGCGCACGCGACATGCACTCGAATATTCAGACAACCCCAACAGAATGCACGGATATACGAAATATTTGAGGAATATATGTAAGTTACAGGAGGCTTCCCCTCTTTTCTTTTCTCTTCTTTTCTTTGCAAGGATTCGCGACACGATAAAACTCGAAAGACGATTGACGGCAATTTCTCTGTATGTTGGGAGGTAGGATATATATATATATACTCGTATATATATCCTCGTGGCCGTCGAAACTATCCAAGTTTAAGTGGCTACGCTCATATGATTACTCGGCGATTTTTCGCGAATCGTACGTGTGACGCGTGTTCCAAAGTTGTACTGGATTTGTCTAGAGTGCCAGTCGCGTCGCGCCTCCTTCATTAATAATAAAAAGAAAAATAATATAGCAATAATGGCAAAGAGAGAAAGAGCGAGTCGAAGCTTCGCTCCGCAAACTTACTGTCAGACGTGACAAAACGTAGCTCAAGCTTCGGCGAGTTCCCTCCGATCGGCCTTGAGCCGGTTACCTTGCGTCGGTCCTTTTCGTTTCTGCTTCGATTGGCCGACGACGGAGGTTTGCACCGCAGTCGCGATACGCGGTCGTCCGAGGTGAAAGTGACTTTTACGGGCAAATCGTACCCTTTACGGAAGATGTCCGCGCGCACGTCTGGCCTCGATCTTAAAATAATAGCTATTACCGCGGAGTTTATTGCGTCCCGACTGCAGCTTTAATTCCTCCGTTGCGTACAACGTAAAACGACCGCTCTCTCGTTCTCGGCGCGACAAAGAGCGTGCGTGTCGTCCTGAGCCACGCTTTGAAATTTAAAATGCAATTCGCACGTGTTGCACCCTGTGCTGTACAAATACGAGAGACTCGGCTCGGCGAACGACTGAAAATTTAAATCGGATGAATCCGAAACACGTTCGTCACGAAAGCGGTTAGGCCGTGCTATGTACTCTGAAAGTGTGTTATTTATGGGGAGGCGCGGTTTTGTGGGATTGCGGGGGTTTGATGATTTCGCTGATATCCATTATTCGACGCGAGCTCTTGCAAGCTTTGCGCAAAGTTGGGTCAACGTGCTGTCGTATTTTCAGGGTGAAGTACGTGTACGGTCGATGGCTTAGCCTGGCTATCGTCGAAGCCGCGTGAGACTTCAGAAATTCCGAGGAGATGGGCAAATATGTATCTCTCCGATTCGCGCTTCGTTAGATGATCGGCAGTGGAGTAATAGTAAGAAATTTAACACTTTCCGGCTTTTCTGACAGTTTGCACATATGTTGAGTAACGTATGCGCGAACGTAAACGCTCTTGCTATTTAGCTGTTGCGAAAAGATGCGCGTTCTTAGCAAATGATGTCACACTCCGAAAAATAGATCAACGTCCTCGGACTTTTTTCCGAAATACCTCACGACGAATTCGAGCCTATTTCTGTCGCGGAATGCTCCGTCACTTGTTTTCCTTTTTTTTTTTTTTTTCTTTCTTTATTGAATATATACCGAGTATATCGTACGAACGTAAATTTTGCAGATCTGATTTTATAGACCAACTTGTTTGTCGGGAGAACATTTTTTGTATCGGCCCGGCCCGGCGAGTACATCAATAACGACGCGATCGATAACGACGAATAAAATTGTTTGCCAACTGTCTCTTCATTTTCCACGAGCATTATCCAGATGTAATCGCTGCAATGCGGCTCGTGGAAATCGATGGGGGTCTATAAATTTATGTTGATGTAACTACGACGCGCGCGCACGCACACACACACACACACACACACACACACACACACGTACTCGAGTTTGTTACCAGGGTTTATTATCGCGATTTGGAATTATCTGATTGACTCGCACAAACTAATTCCATAAGGTCCTTAATTACACTCGACTCTGTAACGAGCGCACTGGATGGGTATCTGTGCGTTCATCGTGTACTCTCGAAACATATATGCGTGTTGCGCGATTGTGTGTCACTCGTGGAATTCCATCTGCACGGTCAACCACACGAAACACATACGAGCGGTATATGGAGCACTACTGGAATTAGCGCGACGTTTTATAGCTCGATTATATATTCTTCTCGGCTTGGAAAATGGAAACGTTTCTTCTTCTTCTTCCTACCGACACGTTGCACACGACAATTGCAGTAACATAAATACTTAATGCTCGAATGCGTGAAAGAGCTGCTCGGACGAGCGGCGCAACGCCTGACAGGTGACGCGACGCTGATCGAAAGTAATCTCGCGAGTCGGACGGCGAGATGAGGAGCGTGACAAACGGAAACGTTAATAACGGAGGGGCGAGACGCATACATAGGGCCGGGCCGGCGGAAAAGGTCTCCTTAATGCTCGTCTCCGCTCCCGATCCCGATCCGTCGGCCATCTCTCTCTCTCTCTTTCTCTCTTTCAAGGGTGGCGATTCGAAGGGTAGATCCGCGGTCGGCATTAGGGGAGAACCGGAGGAGGGTTCCGATATAAAAGATTCTTTGGGAACGAGGCTCAAGATTCGATCACAGGGCTTTGTCGAGACGGGGCAACTCGATGCAACGGTTGCTAGACACTGGCCGACTCGGACATTTTCTCAAGGCCAGCTCTTAACGACCCGGGGATCTTGCGCGCGCTGCTGGATCCTATGTCCTTTGAGAATTCGCTCGCGACTCCGCTTCGACCGATTACCCCCCGTCAATGTTAAATGTCTATCTCGAAAGACAATTGCGACCGACAGAAATGTTCCCCCTTCCCTCCTCTCTCTCTCTCTTTCTCTCTCTCTATGATCGCTGCTTTGTATGATTCCGGACTTGAGATCTTCCCGTTGACTTGACCTCTGTTGATCTCCCGCGATTGAGAGAACGCGACCTTATTAACACATAGCCTCAAATTATCCGCCTTGAATCTTTCAACGTTCGCAACTGTGGCCGCATTTCATTCTCTTCGCGAACAATCTTGGTAATCGCATTCATCGCGTTTTCTTCGCGTCGATGTGGAAGACTGAATCTCGTGCTTGAACAAAAGAGTCATAGGACAAACACAAGGGTGACGACGAGAACGGTCTGTTAATTTTATCAACGCATAATTGTGCAAAACGACACCAAGTTAAGTCACGACGTTTGGTTAATCTCCATTAATACTTGCTCGCCTCGAAAACCGGTGAAATATCTGGATGGATTTTCTCAGTGGGCGTTCCTCGCTCCTACTCCCATATTGTGCGCTTCCTTCCATTTTCCTGATTGGAACAGATTGGCGAAAATTTCATATTTTGACGGTAATAATCTCTTCCTCGTTCCTCTCGTGACTTAGTTCCGTCATTAGATCGCGGCCTGCAATTTCCATCTTACGTCTCACGAGGGTTGACGACGCACTCACAGCTGACCCTCCGTTTAGACAGTCATGGGTGGTTGATCCCTCGCCGCGTTCGAGGGAGAGACGTTCGTTAATGCCGCGTTGAATCATCGCCCGAGTTACAAGATATAAATCGTATTTTCTTCCTTGACGATGTTGCAGAAGCGCGAGAGGTCACCGGGCAAAAGGATGGACCGGCTTCGACGGAGCTTCCGCGACAGTTTTCGCCGGCGGAAAGATCCTCACGTGCCCGAGTCTAGCAAGCCTCATCAGTGGCAAGCTGATGAGAGCGCAGTGCGTTCGGCTACGTGCGCATTTCACGTCAAGGTGAGCGCTAAAGTTTGATGACACGTTGAGAGTAGGTATGCAAATTAGCGGCCGTCCGGCCGCTTGTCCGGCCGGATTGTGTGTCGAAATCATTAAGACGATTAGGACCATCGACGCTATTATCTTCAAGTCAATGTCACGGTTGCAGTTATCTCAACATTTTTCTTCGCGCCGTTCCGGATGAAATCACTGATGGTGAATTTTAAAATTAACGTTATTATCGCGAAGAAATATTGTTTACCCGGATAAACCCGGATTCGTTGTCACTTCTGGTGTCGATTCTAATGTTAAAGGTTCTAATGTTAAAGATGATCCTCACAAAAGAAGGGCTTGCGCTGTGTGTTAACCTGTTTAATACTCGAATGAATAAATAATATAATCGGATACCTTTGCAGTACCTGGGATGTGTGGAGGTGTTTGAATCGAGGGGTATGCAGGTCTGCGAGGAAGCTCTTAAGGTTCTTCGAGTAAGTAATTGTTTGGCCGTTTTTTTCTCTCTTTTCAATTAATACACCCTCTCCATCTCGCAAACACACACACATTAGCCAGCTAAGAGGCAGCGTTAAATTTTAATATCAATAATAAATTTCTCACGCATAAACTCGTATCTTGCTGCAATTTGATTTTCAGCAATTTCACTTTTCCATCCAGTGAACATTGTAGCGTGGATAATTCTTAAAAAGCACCCGATCGATAATCTTTCTCTCATAGTCCCTGCGCCATTTTAAACACTCAAGAAGCCCCGTAGTAGAAAGTAATTTGGGGAGCCTCGTGAAAGAGTTGGGTGCGTCGCATTCTCTCTCTCTCTCTCTCTCTCTCTCTCTCTCTCTCTCTCTCTCCAAATCTTTCGCCATGGCTATTTTTAGCGCGGCTTACACGCAAAGAGACACACTGACATCGAGCGGCCTGAAAATAAATGGGTGTTCTAAAGGTCAGAGGGCAATTTGGGCAATCGAGTGATTCTCGGCTAAATTTTCAGAACTCAAGACGGAGGCCAGTACGGGCGGTGCTTCACGTGTCCGGCGACGGACTGCGCGTTGTCGAGGATGAGACGAAAGGCTTGATTGTCGATCAAACGATCGAGAAAGTCTCGTTCTGCGCGCCAGACCGAAATCACGAAAAGGGATTCAGTTACATCTGCAGGGATGGCACGACGAGGCGATGGATGTGCCATGGATTTTTGGCGTTGAAAGAATCGGTAAGTCAGATGTTTCTTCTCGTCTAGAAACCTCGGTCGCGGAGAAACGCGGAGAGAGTTATCGATCAGTGTGTAGTATGGGTGTAGTACATATGTGTATAAGGGGTTTGCTTCTTGCTCCGTCGATAAGGGGTGAGTTTGCATAGAAATACCGGCGGCATCGTATAGAGAGTGTGTAATGACATGATGTGATCCATACGTGTCGCACGTGTCAGGGCAGACTCTCTCTCTCTCTCTCTCTCTCTCTCTCTCTCTCACGCGGACAGTAAAAATATATCACTGCACCTCCTAACGAATTAATTAATTTTTTATCGATAAGGGGGAAAGGTTGAGTCACGCGGTGGGTTGCGCCTTCGCCGCGTGCTTGGAGAGGAAGCAACAACGGGACAAGGAATGTGGAGTTACGATGACTTTTGACTCCAAGACCTCCACCTTCACGAGAAGCGGCAGCTTTAGGCAACCGAGCCTCACCGAGCGGTTGCAGGAGTCACGCGATCGTGCAGTCGGTGAGTGCTACCTCCCAAACACCGAAATATCCATTTCTACAGCCTGGTCGGTCTTCTCGCCTCCACGAGAGTCAGTCTTGTTTCAGACGTCCCTCCGGTCAAGCAGGTATACAATCCCTTCGCGATCGAGAGGCCGCACGCCACTCCGTCAATGTTGGAGCGACAGGGTTCCTTTAGGTGTTTCACGCAGCTAAATCAGGCATCCCCGTTCAAGAGGCAGCTCAGTCTACGAGTCAACGATCTTCCTAGTAATCTCGAGCGCACACGTAGTCACAGCCTGGAGCCGACGGACTTGTCGCGGATTCCTCCGGCTCTCTCGCACATTGTACCTCTGAAGCCACCGGGTGAGTTTTCGCGGCCTAGCCGCGATATCTTCTTTTCCTTTTTGGTATTCTCAGCCGAATGGCTCTATATATTGTCGTAGGTATAAAGAGCTATACCAACTGAATTCAATCTGAGGTCAATCTGAATAACCATGTCTTTTTTTCTCTCTCTCTCTCTTTCTCTCTCTCCCTCCGGTTTCACAACCAGAGTTCGAAGGATATGACGAAGGTCATTACCTCCTTTATTCCGTTAATCGTTCTCCTATTCTTGCTTGCTCTGTTATAAGTGTTACCTATAACCTCAAACGTGCTCGTTTCCCATATACACGGTTACTCCGTATGTGATTGCGTTTGACAGACATGAACTGTGGTCCCACGACACACCGCGAGCGTGTAGCTAGAATTTATCTATACATTCGACAGACTCTCTCTTTCTCTCTCTCTCTCTCTCTCTCTCTCTCTCTCTCTCTCTCTCTCTCTCTCTCTCTCTCTCTCTCTCTCTCTCTCTCTCTCTCTCTCTCTACGACATATCTTTTTTTCTGCTCGTGCTTGAAACAGACATTTAGCGCCACTCTCTACGTGCCTCCTTCCTCACTTTATATTCATCCCGACACAACATCGGTGCGTCGATGCGTTTAGCATGCCTCTCGTAGAGCCCCCAGAGCACCTCGTTGCAACATTGTCGAGAGTCTATCGAGTGTTGATGTTAGTAGCTGTTAAAAACGATTCCTCCTCCCGCAGTGAGCCCGATACCGGAAATATCCCCCGGCGGTCAGGACAGCGTATCCGCGATGTGTCAGCAGCTTTCTCGGGGGCTTTCTCTGCTGTCGAGCAGCGACGATTTCGGACCAATGCCATCTCATGCTGCAGCCGCGAGTTCGGTCGCCAAGCAACTCTTCACCAGTACCGCCAGTTCTCCTCCAGGTACAGCTACACTTTTCGAAAGGCGAAAATCGCGCCGGATCTCGCGTATACGCGTGTCGAGAGAGAGAGAGAGAGAGAGAGAGAGAGAGAGAGAGAGAGAGAGAGAGAGAGAGAGAGAGAGAGAGAGAGAGAGAGAGAGTCTAACGAGGCGCGATTTGCGCGCTTTCGCAGTGACGAGTAGCAGCTCGTTGGACGAGATGAAGCTGCAAAACGGCCCCACCATCAACAACAATAACAACAATGACAAGAATGACGATCTCAGCAACTTGAATCACGTCGGGCCGAGCTGGCGGGACACGACATCCCCCCCTGTTCTCGCGTCGAACCACAGGCTCACGCCTATCCTTAAGGCGAGCAACCTGAGTCCCGTTCTTCCAAGGACGAACGCGCCCACTCCAGTCGTTATGAGCACACCGGCACCCGCCACCAGTGTAGGTGCCTTCGGCACACCACCGTCGGCGGCGAGCCCGGCTTTCAGTACGGCTTCTACGTCCTCCTTAGGGAACACGTCGACACCGGCCGTAAACAGATCGCCGATCCCGATCATCAATTCAGTGACGACGCCGAAAACGAGTTCGCCCAGCGCCAGCGTGGCGTCCGTTTCACCGGCTCTGTCCGGCGTCGTCTCGACTGACGTCGCTCAAGTCTCGTCGGCAACCGGTATTCCGACAGCTCTGGTAAGCTGAGTGTTCACAGTCACATTACGCGCTGCACAATGGCCTCGATGTGAACGGTCAAAATTCCTTAAGCTTACGCAACTCGCAATCCCGCCTTTGCATTGTACCTTTATCGGAATTATTTATCGATGAATATGCTGCAGGTAATATATCTCACGCTTACAGAGTGAGAAGATAGAAGCCGACGTTGTGAAATAAAACATTGAAACATTGTCTTGGTACGGTGCCCCTTCGAAGAAGGGAGGAAAAACCGTGTCACTGAAAAATATGTCGCAACTACGATCTTCCAGGACAACCGTTCTTCAGCTTCGGTTTCCAACGGAATATAGCACGTTTCTCTTCTCGCGATCGCCAAGAATTTTCTCTTCGTTCCGCTCTTTTCCGATCGATGCGCGACCCTTAGGTCCCTTAGGACGCCGCGGCGCGGACGATTTCTCACGAGTTTCTCCGTTTCTCCAACAGGTACAACCGCTTTCCACAGCAGCTGGTTTGCCGAAACCGGAACAATGGCTGGGCAGTATAACCGGATCCGTGCCGTCGCCGGTGCCGCAAGTACCCGTTAGTCCTCGACGAGCGCCTCCTCTCCACGCGAGAGCGCATTCGCTCGGATCGGCCGCAATGAGCCAGGCTTCCAGAGGAGGACCCTCCGATCCCTTCGACGTCGAATGGGCGGAAATCGCCGCGAGGAACCTGCGGCAGGCCAGCACGACGAATCCCTTCATCATGCCGAACGCGACCCAGGCGTTCCAAGTGCAGTTGTAGCGTCAGGAGTTCATCAACAACGTCGCAAAGTATTTCCGTTCGAACACATAGTGACGGCTACACGTCCGCTCGCGCTTCGACCTCGCACACGATCGAAAGTACTACACGTGAGCCGCGTGTCCTCGAGCCGCTCGCGAACACCGTCGCTTCGATCGCGCACGACGACGACGACGACGACGACGACGACGACGACGGCGATGTCGCAGTCTAGTTAGCCTTAGATCTCGACCTTGCATGACAATCTTCGGCGAGACCCCGAGTCGAGGAGTCAGGCCGAAGGAGATAAATAAAACTTTACATCGTCGTCGTCGTCGTTGTCGTCGCCGTCGTCGTTGTCGTCGTCGTCGTCGTCGTCGTCGTCGTCGTCGTGTCGACTTTCTAGTAGCAACGACGGTAACAGCGAACTACAGCACAAAACGAGTCTCCGTGAGAGTACTCAACATAGATAGATATATACGTATACGCGCACACAGCCTTAAACGCGACCTCAATAAGAACAAAATATAAAAAAAGAAAAAAACAGAAGGGCAGAAGGGGAGAGAAGGAATGAGAGAGAGAGAGAGAGAGAGAGAGAGACACACGTAAACGCGCGCGTAGATAGACGCGTGCGAGAGACGGGGAGAGACACAAAGTTTCACGCACTAGTAATAATACCAGGCTACTCCACGTCAGCCGAGGAACAAGAAGCAATAGAGTATCGCGGAGTACGCGTATCGATAGTTATACTTAAATGTGTCTGTGACGCGCGATACCGTAATTGGATATCCCAATAATCTTGAGTAGACTTAGTAGGCTCGAGCCGAGCGGTTATCGTCGTTTTGCATGAGAAACGAAATTGTACGCACCCCAAAATTACGCACTGCACCCTTGCCCCTTTTTTCCAAAAGAGCAAAAAAAAAAGAAGGAGAAGAAGATGATGATGATGATGATGATGAAAAGCGGGAAAGAAACGAGGAGCAAAATGATAGACGAATAAATAATACGTACGTAGCGTAGTTGCTTCGTGGTCGTGCACGCTACCACGTGGGTCACGAGAGAAAAAAAAAGTGCGGACAGTCGTACCTCCTCTTGGACGGTGGGGAAAGTTGCGAAATTTTCCGGCGGGCTCATCCGGCTCAGGCAAGCGCACAGGCGGCGGACGCTCGGTTTCGCCGAAACCGTGACGCGATTAGACGCGCAAGGGGGTTAACATCCGCGAGAGACTGTGATATATATATGTATATTGACGTGAAGTGGCCAGTACTTAAACGTGAACGTGCGCGCGCGCGCGCGCGCGCGAACTTTTAACAGGCTCCCGAGACGAATCCCGAGAGCGGGATATCGTCGGAGTAACGAGAGACTTGCTCAAGGTTGTCGCGCCGCGTGATAGAGGAGAACGAGCGATCGTGAGCTCGGGGGGTGGTACCACAGAGACACCCTATCGTCCCGTAGACGCTGGTAGACAGGAAAAGAGACATAGAAAGACAGAGAGAGAGAGGGAGAGAGAGAGAGAGAAAGAAACCACTCATAGATTACGTAATAAAGATTAGCTGTTGAAGATTAGCGGGGCCGAGAGAAACAGAACACGGCCCTTACAATATCGTTGTCTATTATACACACGATCGAGCTGCATTTATCGCAAGTGGACCGAGGCCCGCGGGAGGAAGATACGGTGTGGCACGATGTGACGCGTAACCGTGGAGATTCTCCTCCGGCGAGGACGACGACCGAGAGGCGCTTTCGCTCTCGCGATCACGGTGACCACGAAAACTGTTGCCGTCCGCCGAGCCGAACCGATCCACGAGAGTACGCGCGAATCATCGCATCTGACGATGCGATCACGCCGAAGATTTATGAGGTCGATGATGTACGTCGTAGCGAGACGAGCAGAAAGGGTCTCCTCAGTTCCACGTAGTAATTGATAGTGTCCGGCGAGATATCAGTATTGCAGCTTTCTGTCTTTCAAGCTAGCGACCGCACTTTCGGTTTTTCGAAACGGATCGAGGGTAAACGTCGAGGAAGACCAAGAACGATATCACGGGGGAAATGATTGAGCCGTGTGTGTGTGTGTGTGTGTGTGTGTACGCACTCTGTACATAGAATAGTTATTTAAAGCGTAACGAGAGACAGGAGGTCAGACAGGAGACTATGATGAGAGGAGAGAACGTGTGAGAAAAAGAGAGAGAGAGAGAGAGAGAGAGAGAACATTCGGAAGTCGCCGATTATTAAAGGCCGACGATTCAGCGATCACGCGAAGGCTTCCCTCCCGGACGCGATTCTACGATTATCTCTGTGAAATTTCCGGGGTGTGTGTGTGTGTGTGTGTGTGTGTGTGTGTGTGTGTGTGTGTGTGTGTGTGTGTGTGTGTGTGTGTGTGTGTGTGTGTGTGTGTGTGTGTGTGCGTGCGTGTGTGTGTGCGTGTGTGTGTGCGTGTGTGTGTGTGATTGTTCCATCTTTTTTCGATCTCGATTACTACTTGGTCGATACTCTCGAACTGTATTCTACACTATGTCGTTGATTTCGTCGGCAGATTAAACCGGTACATATACCCTTCCCAGTACCCTTCCGTGCGACGACCGATCAATCGCTCGGAAGAGTTATCCTTTCGAATGTAAGCCGCACTCGATCGCGAATAATCGGACGAGAGTGATTGTTACGGGAGAAATGCCGAGGCGTTATTGCTGGTCGCACGGCGAAAATGGACTTGGTTTTTCCAGCCACCTTCCGTCCGTCCCGAAAATCAAAAGATAAAGAAAGAAAGAAAGAAAGAGACAGAGAGAGAGAGAGAGAGAGAGAAAAGGAGGGAGAGAGCAGAGAGATGAACGAAGCTTCTAAGCGAGAGGGCTAAAATACACCGCAAAGCAGCACGTGGAGCGATCGCTAGGTACTTATTGTGGTGGTACTTATGAAAACGGTTAATCAATGTACTTAAAAAAAAAAAAAGAAAAAAATTATTAACACACATATAGGTCGTTGTTAGCGAAATCGTCGCTGATCGACGCACGTTGTCGATGTCTTCTACCCTATCCGTCTCATTTCATTTTCTTCTCGTTTTCATTCTTTCGGACTGACATTTCTTCCGTTTTCCTGGAGAAACGCGGAAAAGGAAAGAACGTGTACATAACGCAACGTAACGGCTCGTTGTAACATTATTATTAAGTTTAAGTACTTATTGTTTTTTTTTTCCTTTTTCCTTTTACTCTCAGTCGATGTACGCTATAACTCATACATTGTTCATTTGACTAGGATCGAGAAGGAGCGATAGCGGCGTCTCGGCTGATCTCTGATTGTAGACGTACGGTGTATGTAATTTACTCGGATACTCGGTGTCTTTTGTAATTTTCGATCGGTGCGACTTTTAGTTGAATTAGCTGTCGCCTTTTGCCTCTTTCCGCAAAAACACAGAGATTAGTCGAGACGCGTTCCGGTGTCTCATATCGACTGAAACAGGCAAGTGCATTTATGGAGAAAATGATTAACAGTGGCAAACACACACACACACACACACACACATACACATGCACACAAAATACACACTACAAGTGTGCGTGTACATACATACATACACACATCCAGATACAAGGAGAAAGAAGAGAGATGCCGGGAGAGACAAGGATTACAGGCGAATAGATGCACCGCGTGCCAAATTCAAAAGTGCAACCGCGTTGCCTGCCAATTGGACGGTAGTACATCGCGCACGCTTCCGTGGTTGTGTTGTACATAGTGTCGCCGGTCGATTCCTGGATCAAAGTACGACTTAATGCCTGTATATTTCGTAAAAGTATCCTTGTTCATTTTACATTGTATCTGCCACTGTAAAGATACGGTTTATTATATAATATCTGTTGTGATTACAAACAGTTTTTCTCTTGTTTCTTTCGTCGAACAACCTCCAACATCCGACATCTTCCCCTTCCTTCAGGATACCCGTTACAATCATCCAAGACTTTTGGAAAAGTCCTCTCCCCTGAAGTTCTCGAGATATGCCAATTTTTATCGCGATATACGATCGTGATTCTTCTTGCCAAATTCACAAGATTAAAGATACAAGTTACGTCATTTTACATTTACACTTGTTTACCTTTTTAATCTAAATTAGTAGTTTTACAAGTAACTAAAATAGAAGAATGTGCAACACGATTAAAGCCAGCATGTCAAATCTCGAATACGCTCTCGCAGCAACATATCCGCCCAGCGTTCCATCGCGTTGCTCTTCAAGATCGACTTGCGTCGATTATGCATGCCCGAAATACTCGTCTGACGTGTCAACACGCCTGTATCAATTTCAACTTACGTATACTTATATATATATATATATATATATATACTTGCGACAGGTACACGTCACTCAGGAATATTCTTGTGCATTTCACATAAAACAGATTGATTGACATTAATTGATTGCATTAAATTTTTAACAAATTTGCTTCGCGTGCATTCGACGGCACTCGAAAAATTAAATTATCGTAAGACCTTAATTTACATAAAATGCCGTGTAAAATTAAGGGCCATTTAAAACATTTACAAGAACATCGATATCATATCATCAGAGAGGAACGTAAGAGCGGCCAACACGGAATTTTTCGATACCGACTTTTCGCACTGGGAATGGCCGCGCCATCTGCATCCATTTTGAGAAGGGAACTACGATGCCACATCCACTTTCAGGTTTCGACGGTAAAACCTGCATGTAGTGGCAGTCCGTGTTACATCCATTTTCAGGTGGTTTATGTCCGTGCAATCATAACAGCGTACTTGACAGCCACGGTCTCGCACATTGTTACGCGTTTATAACATGAATTAACATGTGCAAAAAAAGGCATGGAAAAGTGCAAAAAGGCGAAGTAAAACACAAGTAAGCTGGTGTGAGGCATTCGGGCGAAAGACGAGAAGATTGATTTCTTCTCGTCTTTATCACCGACGAAAGAAGCGCCCCCATTTTAAAGAGCAATCATAAAATGCGCGACTACTTTGTCACGCTTATATCATCAACTCCCGCTTCATCAATCTCCCACCCTCGATAGAGTCTCAACGCACGATCAAGCGCGAGTTATGAAGATTCGGTTTCCGCGAAGAAACTAGTCGGGGGCCGTTCGCAACCGCGGGGGAATTTAACGCTCGCGTTCGCAAGGCAAGGCTAACATTCTACTCGCGAAGGGACGCCGTCGCTCCTCCTTTCATAACGGTATGCGGATGTTCAACTCCTTTCTTCCTTATTTTCCGCGACAACGGATACCGCGACGAGGCCCTAACGAGGCAAGTTCGCTTATAACCAGCGTTTATGTCAAGAGCACTTCCCGGTCGAACATTCCGCTTGAGGGGTTAGTTGCGCGATAGAAAATTTCCTGCGACCGGAGGCCGCTGTGGCGTTTAAAGTTAAATTTCATAAAGTTAAATGTAGTAACAACAGCATTGTTATCGAGCAGCCCTGAGACGGGCTGCTGTCATCCGTCCGTGACCGTCTGCCGCGCGTCTTTACGATTATCGGCAAAAAAAAAGTTTTCTCGATTGTTCGCGCGATTTCAAGTGGCCATAATATATGGCGATAATACATGGCAATATGTGGCAATAATATATGGCAACAACATATGGCAACAATATATGGCAACAATAAATGGCAACAATATATGGCAATAATATATGGCCATAATATATGGCAATAATTCATGGAATATTATTTTTCGTTCGACAAAAGTCAATGCAAATTTGCGGCATGCACAATGTAATAATAAAAGAGCTCTCTGCGAGCATTGAATCAAACGCTCACCGATGATGATATTGCTGATGTCTCGTCCGCATCCATCAATGTCCGCCCATGTCCGCAGCCGCTCTCCATGTCGCGCAACATCCATCTTGCAGCGCGTCCCACGTTGATTGCTACATTTTCGCCACACTTCCGCGACGCGATCGATACGCGGTATTAGAGCGGCGATATTTGCGTCAATTAACGAACGTTTTACGTCGACATCGGTGGAAACTTTTTACGCGCTGCGAAACGGACTTTATAAACTCGATCGGCGAGGAGTGTGAAACCGTGTGAAAATTTATCGACTCGTCCAACGGATTTTTACGGCGCTTTTCGCGATCGCGTCTGAAAAGTCGCGAAAATGCGAGATCTACGATATCTACGATATCTACGAGAATATTCGCGAATGCACGCGAGGAAAGATTAGACAATCAGAAACCGGTCACTCCGAGGGAGCGCAAAGAGAGAGAGAGAGAGAGAGAGAGAGAGAGCGGGGCAAAGTTTTCACGCATGATAGTTCCGTCACGACGAAGCTTAAGTTCGCGATAACGTTGGCGAAATGAGAATTTAAGCTTTCTTTGTTAGCAGCGCGGGTAATAACGCGAATATTGATAACCGCGGTCGCGATATTCAAAGGCACGCGAGCGAGGATACCTCAAGCTCGACGTGCGCTGGCGCAATTTCTGCGCGCATTATACGCTACTCGAGACAATAGGGATCGTGATGAATGGATAATATCGGCAAATAATTCTACAGCCTGTTTTGGAAATAAAAGAAAAGTAGCCAACGGCATCGGCATTTATGCGTATGAATATATTTTACACGGACAATTGAATATTGTCAAATAATTGTCGTTAAATAATTCTGCGGCGGCCCGCTTGAAAAATGAAAATAAAGCAGCTGATTACCATATCGTGTTTGTAGATATGAATATCTCTTATTCATATGACTGAACATCAAAAGAGAATCATTCGGTATTCTAAATTTCGTATGTAATGCAGGCTATCGATCAAGTGACCCCCTGATTGTCTCGAGCAATGTATTTTATTCAACGTCACAAAACAAACATATACATGCAAAATCCCAAGAATCTATTTGCAATTTGCATTGAATTGCGAACGATATTTTATCTAGTCCCACATCCGTCATGCGGAATTTTGTTTCTCTTAACATTTTGTATTTACTCACCGACAACGACTTGCAGTCAGAGCCGGCCACGTTCCGCTTCAACTCTGTAACAAAAAATTCACATTCGCTCATCAGATCAGACCAACGAGTGCGGGCGAGTGAAAAAGCAGTTTACCCTCTGCGATCATAATTCAAGTCGAGCCGGAAATTATATCCCAGCTCTAGATCGCCAAGGGTCAAACAGAGGACTATAGTAAACTTATAAACTTACCTTCAAGCCGACTCTGCTTGGCCCGAATCGAATCCTCCGATGCGGCATCCGCGTCCGCAAGATTGCTGTTGCTTTCCGCAACAACTGAAACAGAAAAATAATTTTTCCGGTTGATAACCTGCGGTAGAGAGAGAATATCTTTTGATCGGGACGAATCGAAAATACGGAATTTTTATCTCAATATTTTTGTTCCAACATTGAAAATTTAAGTGAGACTTGAAGCTTTCAAGAGAGCGGATGACGAATAAGTTGCAAAGGCAAAGATCGTAAAGGGTTGAACACAGATGTGTAGGAAACTTGTAAACTTTACCTTCCGACCGATCCTGCTTGGCCCGAACCGGATCCTCCGGTGCGGCATCCGCATCTGCCGGATTGTTGTTGCTTTCCGCAACAACTGAAACAGAAAAATAGTTTTCCCACTTGATAATCTGCGATAGAGAGAGAGAGAATATCTTTGATCGAGACGAATCGAAAATACGGAAATATTTTGATATGGGATTTTTATCTCAATATTTTTGTTCCAACATTGAAAATTTAAATGAGACATGAGGAGGAACAAGTTGCAAAGGCAAAGATTGTAAAGAGATGAACACAGATATGTAGGAAACTCGTAAATTTTACCTTCCGGCCGATCCTGCTCTACCCGGACCGGATCTTCCGGTGCGGCATCCGCGCGTCCGCCAGACTTGCTTCCCGCAACGTCTGAAACAAAAATTTAGCGTTCTTGATTGGTAAGCTGCGGTAAAGAAAGAATGTTTGATCGGGATGAGCGGAGAATATTCGCTACGGTTCTTTTTGTTTTTTCTTCATTGACATTGAAAGTCTAGATAAGACTCGGAGCTCTTGAAAGAGCTGACGAAAAAATGACAACAAGAAGCGCAGACAACAGTTGTGTGCTCTCGAAAGTACTCTTTTACGAATGGACATTTAAATTTAGATCCCGTAACGAGAGTAAACAGACTTGAAAGAAAGAGGCTGACCGAAAACAAGAAAGGTCGCGGTCTAAGAAGCGGTATGACGTTGAATATTCTGCACAAAACCGGTATAAGCACACAGTTGGGAATTATTCAGAATGTTTGATTGAAAACAAGATGAATTAGAGATCCGTGTTCACGAAACGTTATCCGTTTCTGTCTGGATCAATATCTCTTGTATACAACAACGCAATAAATAGATAGACAGACAGAGATTGACGAGAGAGTAATTGGAGATTCATAAAGTCATGATTACTAATCGGACGCGGATCGTGAATGCCGAGCGCGACTTCTTATTCCCGGAAAATTCGTCAAATGTCCGCTCTCGTTATCGAAGACCTCCCGCATAATAAATGATTCCACATTACCTGCTAACGTGACGTATCGCTGCCGGCGTCCTGCTTCCCGGCTGCTGGAGTCCTCCGGATTTCACTCGCTCACGCTTCTAATGCCGATACTCGCGATTCGACCGTGCGGTTAATCAACGCGACGCCGATTGGGTATCTCGAGGACCGACGAGATACTTTTCTTTCAATTACACGAGACAGAAGTGACGAATGCGTCGCACACGGCTGCTGCTGATGGAATGAGGTTGAATACGCGAGGCGAGCGAGTATTAATCCGAAGGGCAAAAAGTGTCGTCGCTCGCGAGTTGATCAACACAATCGGCCCGCGATGTAAACATTGCGGGCCTCGGCGGCCCGCCGTTGAAGCAAGAGAGACTTGCCCTCGGACGTCTCTTCTTTTCTCGAAGGTTCCGGAACGACGAGGGGAATGCGAGGAGGTACACTTTCAACTATACGCAACATTTATTTACTATTTATTGATTACTGAAGATAAAGAAAATTACTCTGTCGAAGCATCGGACATTTGTTAGCTTTATGTTAATTAAAGAGGAATGTGTACAATTAGAAAATGTGTTGGCAATTAATTGTACAGAGTTGTTGTGCTCGCCGTTTTCGGAGAATAATTAAAAGTCATGGTAGCGTTAAAGAGTGGAATTTCATCCCATGCGAATTTTGTCTCGTACTTATTTGATGTTAGATTATCCGCCGCGGACAATAACTCTTCTACTTTTCATCTAATATTCAATGATGATAAGTAACATTTAATTGCATTCGTTTGGCTCTTTTTATTTCGAAAATAAAAAAATATATACCAGGGTGAGATTTCACCCATGACAACATCAACGTGATTTTCTTTGATGCTTTTTTCAAAAGTTCAGATATTTCGTCGATTTATAATCGGAGTCTCGTCGCGTTAATTAACACGTGCTCCTCCGAGAGGATCGACGGCCACTGTCAGTGCCACGAGCGAATTCCGTCCGGAGCGGACGGGATGTTGAATTGAGAAGCGGGACGAAGGGAACGGGACGCGGGCAACGAAACATCATGCGTCTTCAGACGTGTCAAATCGTTTATTATACAGGAGACTTTGATACGGCAACATGTATTCGAATATTTAATATTTAATACGTACTTTTATTTTTCCAGCTTCTCCCCCCTCCCCCTCACCCCCTGCTCTTTTCAGGCCTCCGAGCATAGTCTGGCATGGAGATGGCAACTGTGGTTGCAGCACACGGACATAAACCGCCTGAAAGTGAATGTAACACACGGACTTCCACCACATGCAGACCATTTTACCATTGAGACCTGAAAGTGGATGGTAGCATCGTAGTCCCCCTCTCAAAATGGATGCAGATCGCGTCCTTTCCCAGTGCGGAAGGTCTGTGTCGCAGAAAATGCCGTGTTGGCCGCTCTCAGGTTTCTCTCTCTGGTATCATGCATTTTTCAGTCTTCAAGTCTTTTGTTCACCTCCGCGGCGGTTGGATGTGGTTGTCGGAACTACGCATACTTTTTATCTTTGGGGACTGCGTACGCGTTGTCCCTGTTTCTCTTTTTAATTTCCAAAATCGTTGTGATTGGCGTAAGAAAAGGAGCAGAGTAATAACTCTCGGCTCAGAGCCATATATTGAATGAATGAATGCATTTTTCAAAGTCTTGTTCACTTCCGTGGCGGTTGGATGTGGTTCCTGTAACTGCGCATATTTTTTGATCGTGGGGGCTGTGTACGCGTTGTTCCTGTTTTTCTTTTACTGGCGTTGGGGATAGAGTGTAACAGCTCTGCCCAGAGCCATTTATCGAACCTGAACCAGAATCTACATTCGTTTCTCGAGGAGTACACAAAGAATAATCTCTTGGAATAGTCATTGATTCCATTGATGCTTTATTCGCGCAGATTACATTTGGTCTAGAGGTTGGCGTTAGCCTGGTTGGTTTTCCAGCGCACAGCCATTTATTGAATGAATAAATGAATTTTTCATAGAGCCACTTATACACCCTGCTACTTTCCTGTCATACCACGTTGCTCTCCACCCGAAAAACCGTCGAGGAAAATAACTCATCGTCTTAGGTGGTTTAATTGCACTGGAAGATCATGTTTCCAAACATGACGATAATTACACAACATCGTGAGTCAATAATTAGTAACCGGATCAACAGAACCGGCACGAAAAGCTGAAAGTTATTCCTCCGACAAGGCTATGCGAATTATATCGAATACCTCGCGTGCGCAGAAAAAAATAAAAGTGAATATAACAGTATATGTAACAATATATATCAATCTTTTTTAAAAGATAACGAATCGAGGTTAGACACGGCACGCAGTACATCGCAGTACGATTCCATACATTTTGTCTTTGTTATTGAGGGGATAAGAATATTGCAAGATATTCAGTACATTAATATTGCACGATATAAATTATTATTATTAATAATAATAAAAAAAGAATAATGTATATGCCAAATAAATGATAGTAAATCGAAGTAGAACAGAAATCATAGTTAAATGTTCACACTTTAATTTAATCATTAGATGTCGATTTTGATTTTTTTTTCTTTTTCGGCGGGGGTGCGTCCATCTGTTCAGCGTGATTGTTTTCCAGATATTCATTCTCTTTGCCGTTCACTTGGCCATTTTCTCTTGGCACCTCTTCTTGGCGTTTCTTCTTCTTGTCCTTCTTTTTCTTCTTGGGAGATTCTTTATTTTCTCTTTCTACAGAAATCAATGATTCCTCCAAGGCTTCTTTCATAACGTCGATGTTCTTCTTAGGTATCTCTCCAGTTTCGAAAAATTTCAGTCGGTCTTCCACCTGCTGTCTCAATTTCTCACCGAATACGTTGGTCGGTATGTCCAAGAAACAATCAATCCTCGAAGCCATGGAACATTTATTCGCCAAGTACCTCGATATTCTGCCTTTGTCTTTAGCACCGGCGCGCCCGATAAACGTGGAATTGAAGAGCAGCCCGAATTTGGGCGTATTTCCTCTGGTTTTTAGCGCTCTGAATAACGCTTTCTCTGCACCCAAAATCTGGACAGTTGATGCTGGAAATTTGGCGAGATTGGTGAGCGATCCAGCGTGTGCGATCAATCTGGCACCTGTTTGATCGCCAATCAAAGATGCCAAATTCGGTGCAACTCCCGACATCTTGCTTCGCAAATATTGGGCTAAACGCTCGCGGTATTCGGCCAGAGAGACAACGCGTTCAGCGAATATCTGGATATTCATAAGATCGACCAGGCTGATGTCCATACCCATAGACGACTTGGATGCGTCTATGATTGCCTGCGCCTTTGCACTGTCCATAACGGTTTCCTCAAGAGCCTCCAACTTCTCTTCTGTAAGCTCCTTTCTATTTTTTATCACTTGCGTTACTTTTGCATACATGTGATTTTCTGGAACTATTTTCACCAGCTCTGGAAAGTGATAGCCATACCATTCTCTGAAATGCAAACAGAAAGAATTTTTATGTTTCTATTTATTTCAAACAAGGTTGGGAATAGATTTTATCCAAAAGGTGACACATTCTCAAATAAATTCTACCAAATTAAAACTGAATATAACCAAGGAAAATTAAGAATTAAATTATGTGGAAAACTTGAAGATTAATCTCAATAATAAATTATATAGGACAAAATATATTTTCTCAATTATATAGTTAAGTAGAAAAGTACTACACATACCGTATGCGCATACTGAACGTGTTTATATCTTTATCTAATTGATCCATTAATCCTATAGTATGGATTATCATATTATCCACTCGGTTAACATTAAATTTTACTTTAGCTCTGGAATAGCTATGTCCAAGTCCCAATTGTGCAACTGATGCACTGTGGGAAGTAAAGCCTTTAACCAAATCATGAAAATGAAATCTAATGCCACGCATGATCTCAGGAATCCCACTGGTGTGATCACATTTTATACCCAGAACTTCGGTGATATTGGCACCAAGTTTGGGATCAGAAACACCAAGGACAACATTCTTCTCTGTAGACTTTGGCACACAAGAATCCAAAAAGACCTGCAGCTGCTCTGGTACAATTCCTTCTGAGATGCTGTTAATATTCTCCAGTGCAGCTACTGCAGTCTTGAAGGCTGAGAAACTAACAAGGCTCACAATAGAACGAAAACGTGCCAAGTCCGTCACGGATTCTTCCACCTGGGGCAATAACATTCCTATCTCCTCGAACTGTTTGACCACGAACACAGCGTATCCAGAGGCATGCTCAAACAGAATATATAGTTTCCTCTGGAAAAAAGCAAAATGCGTACGTTTGATATCTATGTACATCTGATATATTTAAATCCAAGATGCTACATGTGGTAACATCGAGTTGTCGTATACTAACCTGCAGAAACAAGTACATTAAAAAGAAAAATGTAATTATGTGTAAGAATTGGCTACTTTGTACTCACCATTTTCGTCTCTTCACGCTTTCAATAAATTTTATACTACAACCTCTTAAAACGCACGTTCAATATTAACCTAAGCGACCCTCGATACGTCCCTATACATAGCGAAAAGGTCCCAAGAAGAATAGGCGGAAGCACACTGCACAGGCTTTTATGTACAAGCTTGAGCTAGACCTGAGAGAAGAAAGAGATGGGTCATGGGCCGCTTTTAGCCGAGCCAAGTGCGAAATGCTCTCTGTACAATACGTGCATATGAACTACGATGCCAATAGGTCTGTTCGTTTTGTCTGCACTGTTGAACTGGTGCAACAAGTTGAAGTGAGAAAAACCCCTATGTTTGTCTCACTTTATTTAACTTAAGCCAGCGACACACGGTGCTTGTTTTCGTGCTGGATTGCTTGCTGGATGAAAATATTGCGTTGTGATTGGTACATTTCCGAAGATGGATGGAAATGCACCAATCAGAACGCAGTATTTTCATCCAGCAAGCGATCCAACACGAAAACAAGCACCGTGTGCCGCTGGCTTTAGTGCACCAGTTCAGCAGTGCAGACAAAACGAACAGGCATGTGGTCTGTTCTTTTTAGCCGCACTACTGAACTGGCGCAATAAGTTAAAGTGAGAAAAAATATAGTTATCCCATTCTAACTTCTTGCACTAGTTCCGCAGTGCAGCTAAAAAGAACAGACCACTAATGTCCACGATTCTTCTGCACTGATTGCGTTCCGATATTCACTGCCAGCACTGAAAATCTATAGTATACGTGATACAAATTATATATTTTCGGTACTGGCAGTGAATATCGGAACGTAGTCAGTATTTACGAACACGCGGTATTTGAATGATGGCCGCGTTCAGCAGAAAAAGCTGCTTACTAAGCGCTTAGTGATTATCGTTCCTGATTGGTTCATTCCCTTAGCTTTGTTAAAGATGTAAAAGAATACTCCAATCATAGTTAATAATTACTAAGCGCTAGTAAGCAGCTGTTTCTGCTGAATGCGGCTATTGATTGGCTACTGATATTCCCTAACTTGTTTTATATGCAACCGGGGGTGCGTTCCGTTTAAAGCTAAGACTCCATGCATGCGGTGAGCTGCGGCAAACGGTTGCGGTGACCAATCAGGAGACAGACGCATGCCGGAGCTTGCCGCAACCGGACTTGCGCCTCCCTCCTGATTGGTCACCGCAACCGTTTGCCGCAGTTCACCGCATGCATGGAGTCTTAGCTTCACACATATGCACGCATTTTTTATAGTATACGTGACATAAACTATAGATAAATGCGCGCATATACGTGAAACGGAACGCACCCAGAGAAAATGGGGAAATAATTTTCCTTATTTCGCGCGTCCCCAAGAGAGAATTCTATAGAGCTTCTTGTAAACGCTGGATGTTTTAACGTCATATTTTTCGGATTATAATAGACATTTGGAGTGGTAACAGGGACAGCACAAACGCAGTCCCAGTTACTAAAAATTATGCGTAGTCTTGTTGTTACAAGAGCCATATCCAAAGGACACGAGGGCTAACAAAGAGGCCACAGTGGGTTTTACAATTGTACACCCGACAGTGATATCGATCTAACCTAGTTCGTATTCGAAAATGTGAAAGCTATTAGCGGTCATTGTGCGCGTCTGAAGTGTTTTGACGAAGACTACGACAGGGAAGGGAAATAAAAGATAAAAAAATTGTAATTGTAATTCTCTATAAAGAATATATTCGTACGAGAGAAAGAAGAACACCGTGAAAAATAATTCGGCTGAGATTGTGCCTAAATATAGGTTAGGTCAGGTTAGCTCATACTCGCACAGACTCAAGTATGTCAGATAAGGAGACAAGCGACGAGATGCAAATAATATCCGAGAAATTGCAGGCTGCCACGACGATCGAACCGGTGACACACAACGCGTTGCAGTCACAGCAAGCCTGCAGGAGTTCACGGAAGGTCAACAACAATGTCTCATCGCCGTGCCATCCGGCGATGGACGACAAAAAGACCTCTTGCGTCGTCGGCACAACCACCAGCACCGTCGCAGACTACAACGTCGTGACGAGGAACCTGCCTGAACTCAATCTACCTGAAAAGATTCTCATTGTCATCGACACGATGAGAGAGCAGCAATGCACACCCTTCAAGCTCGGCACGGGTGCAATGTATTCGCCGCTCTACATGATCAAACGTGCGATCGAAAGCTTCGTGCACGCCAAGTCCACCATACAGATGAATCACGAGTTCGCGCTGATGATCTTGGATTCGCGAAGCACGCATTGGCTTTGCGACTATACCAACGACATCAGGAGCGTGCTGAATCACTTGGACGGCGTCACCGAAGACGTAGCGGAGGAGCAACAGCGAATCTACGATCTGGACCAGCTGTTTGAGAAGATATACAAACGAATCGCGATGCCGATAACAAAGGAGCAGGGCGCGTCGTTGGCTCCCAATTTCACATCTCGCGTCATCCTCATCTACGGTCGTTCCAACTCGATCCCCAAGTTCAACAGCGGTCAAAAATACCTGTATAATCTGGTGGATAACCCGTATTTCTTCTTAGATGTGTTGTTCGTCCATGAGCCACCTAGTGAAGACAACATGTGCGAAGAGGTGTATGCTGAGATCGCTACATTGGACACAACGAATCTCTCGTATATTTTGGAGGTTGGCCGGAGTGCGGCCAACATACACAACAACATGGCCAAGCTACTGGCGCACCCGTTGCAGCGGCCATTGCAGAGCGACGCTTCGTACACCTTGAACTTGTCGCAGACGACTCAGGAATCACATACTAACGTGTAGTATCTCCATAAAGTGACTTTATTTCTTTCATTCGGACATTTCGCAGTCCCTCAACGGATGATTCTGGCGCGTTTCATTCATGTGCTGCTCTAAGTCTCTGGTCAGACTGGGTTCTGCATCAGACTCTTCAAATACCCAGTTTGATGCTTGTGCTTTATACGATTTTTATGGGAAATCAACGCGCTGATTATTGCTCTTTGATTTAGTTTTGATGTCTTAAATCAGTAGAAAAATAATCGTTTATTTCGTACGTTATCGCCAAAATTATCGCGGAATAAATAAAAACGTTACTTTTTTGGTTCGCAGGTTCGTAAAGTAAGTCGGCTGCGAGCGAACGGATCGAGTACACGGCGTATCGTAGCAAAGCGAATCTAAAGATTAAGAATTTCAGATCGCAACGAAGTAGGGTGTTACTTTGCGTGAACTGTAATGCGCTTCTCCCACATACTCTGATGTCAGACTCGTTGTCATTTTACATGGAAAAAATGCTATTGTATAATGCTTGGTTTCAAAACGGTTCGAATATTTTTGTTTCGATGCAATTTCACACACGCACAGCCGATGGTCCCATGAGAGAACTTGTCTTCTGGGAATTAACAAATTCTTGTTTCTTTCGAAATATTCAAGAGCATTGAAACCAAGTGTATCACGTAGAATTGGTCAACAGTCTCAGTCGCTATTGAAATAGGAACATCTCCGACCACGGCATTGTTGACAAAGTCTATCGATCGAGAACAGCATTTTTTCTTCATTTATATGTACTTGTTTCTCCCGTCTTATACAATTTTGTACCGTCTACAGGAGTCGCGTGTCGTCGCGCGACCTCCTGGCTCGTCAACGACTGTTAAAGCCGCACGACGCAGCGCTCGGTCGTCAGGTGCGCCGAGAACTTGTCCTTGCGCGCGAAGCTGCGTCCGCAGATGCGACACGAGAACGGTCTCTCACCGGAGTGCACTCGTCGGTGTCGCGTGAGATTTGACGCGTACGAAAACCTCTGCGGACACTCGTCGCACGTGTACGGCTGTTCGCCGGTGTGCGTTCGCCGGTGCTTGTTGAGGTCGCCCGTGTGATGGAACTCTTTTCGGCAGAACTCGCACATCAAACGGCGTCGTTGCCGTCGTCTCTTCACTCCGTCGTAGCCGGCGTCTCGATCCTGTTCGTTTGCTTCAGCCTCGCGCTGGAGCACCACGCTGGACGTTTCTTCAGGTTGATGTCTCGCTGTTAACGCGTCGCCGATTGTCGTCGAGTCAACGTCGACTTGATCCCGTGTCCGAGAATCGTCGTAGACATGCGTCTTCTCCTGGACAACCGCCGGATCGCCACTTGAAACACCTCGGTCGATTGTTCCCATCCTTCGGCTCGGACCCTCAGCGTCGCGAACTCTTCTCGCGATTATCCCTTCGATGGACAAACGCAAGTCGGTCTTCTCGAAATGATCCTCGATCTTGTTGATACAAGCAGCACAAACTGTGTTCAGAATCTAGACACGGCAGCAGAAGCGGGAGCGTTAGCGTACTCGTGTGGAGAAGAGCGTGGATCGAGTGAGTGAAGTTTCTCGATCATTTCCACATCGAGAGATTTTTATAAATTCATCGTTGCCCTCCACAACGGTGCACAGATACGCGGTGTGCAAGTAGTGTAAAATATTTTCTATGGCTTTTAGGAATGTTAAGATAATCATACACAAACACACACATACACAACGCACCATGTGATATAATTCTCAAGTTATTTGTAAAATATTATACGACGAATAATACAATAAATGTTGCTGATGTATCGTGATTAATTTCCACTGTAAATTTATACCACCGCGAACCGACATTTTGCCAGGAGAACTCAAATCTCTAAAAAAGGGATGTCTGAGGAGAAAACGTTATTCCAGAGAATTTTTCGCACCGTGGAAATCTCGAACATCACACGGAAAAGCAGGAAGTAACGAGCCGAACTCTAATCGTGATCGAAGGAAATAGAAATTCTGTTTCCTTGAAACAGAACGCATCTGGATCACGGTCATGTTGATTCAACCGTTTTTTTTTTCTTTTCGTGCATATGAAAAGAGAGAGAGCGGAACGTTTTTTTTTTTTCTTTAGACTTTCAGACCGTTCGAAACGTTTTTCTTTTTTAGAGAAAAATTGCTTTGTTCGGGAAATAAATCGCACAAAATCGACCGGCTAATTGACGGCACGGACACTTCGCTGGACCAATGATGAATGCAAAATTGCGCGTACGCATGATACATACCACAAATTTGAGATTCAAATCTCGCAAGCGCGCGTGTGCCGCCTCGTCGTGGCCGAAGATCGGCAAGTTGTGCCTTTTGCAGCAGAAGCGGCAGCGTCCTTGACCGTAATATGACATATCTCGAGGTGAAAGACAAGAAATTATGATGTAAATGTCGTCAAACGGCTGACGAAGTCGCAAAATTATTGCGATCGATCGAAAAAGTGACCAGCCGTCGTTGATGTGTCTAGTCACGGTCTTCCCGGATGATACCGTTTTGCGACAACGGAGTAGGAACACCACGCCGGGGAATACCCGATTACTCGTGCATCCAAGAGTGTGTCGCGTGCGTACACACACACACACACACATAAATATGACGTACGCGCGCCTACATAAGCAACTTGTAGAGAAGATAAACGAAGACTGCGAAGCAATAGCGAATATCATTGACGATACATCGGTTTACGCGGCCATCGGAATCGTGGCCGCGTTTAGCTGGATCTTACCAAAGGAAAATTTGCGCGATGAATCAACGAAGATTGTTCATTTTTTCTCAATATCTTGATACGCAGAAAAATGGAGATTTATAAACATCGTTTTACATAACGACGACGACGAATATGAATACATTTTGCGAATATCATTTTTATATGATTCTTTTATTATAAAATACATTAGTTATTGTTTTTGCTCTTTTCACGGAGAACGCCTAACTAAACTTGTCACGCCGTTATTCCATTTAAATGTGCTGTTACACATCAGAAAATATACTTGTATCGATTATGAATTTTTATGTATACGGTGTGTTAAACTTATCACAATTATTCATCTGTGGATTCTTTAATTTGAAGTTGAGACGTTCACCAGACGTTGTGAGAGACACCTCGTATATTTGACGAGATACGTGTCATATACTCACATATTCAAATACATTCATGCATACGTACATTCATAAAAAAGAGAAAAACAGCACTGCATTTCGATGCATTTGCTCGACTGATAAAACAGTTACTATAATCCGTCGCAATCAATCGTTTGTTTATTATACAATGATTGCAATGTACTTTTCTATATATCCTATATCACAGTAATGTTGAGACATTTGATCATGCAACATCCATTCATTTCTTCGCATTCGACTCACATTGCAAGAGACACTCCCGTGGAATTTCAGTCGAACACTCCAATGAATATGTCAGTTCCGCGCATTTCGCATTCGTCTACGGCAACGTGTCTATAACAATTAAAAAGTTAACGAGATATCATAAATACCATAATACTTTGTGGCGTAAACATTGATGTAGAATCAATGCCATTGGTTTGTCATGTTTGTTAAATAAAATTAAATTCAAGAAAATTTTGTCTGATATTTCGAGGAATTAATAATCCCTAATCGAATAAAATCTTATATTTTTTTTTTTCAAATATTTAACAGCGTTTTCGAATCTTCTTGTTGATACCTAAACTTTTTGCGACTACAAATTTGGAAAAAAAGAAAAACACGACAAATCCTCCACACCAATTCGATATCTTGTAATTGAGCTATTTAGACCCTATGACGTGTGTTTCATAACGAGCGTAAACTAAACACGAAGCTGACGAGGCAAGCCAGCACGATCGGCAAGAGCGTAACACTCGGTCCAGTTGCTGAGGATGTTCCAGAATATATTTCCTTCATCAACTGCGGTAATAATTTTATCAGATGATCTATCGCTATCGCGATCTTGATGCTCGTCGGCGGCTCCTCCTTGGTCTTCGTTAGAACTATGTCGTTTAATACTTTGTTGGTTGAATCATTCGCACCGCTGTGATTGTCCGTTATACTCCAGTCGCTGCATTTCGGGAAGTTTGGAGGCACCGGTGGCATTTCCTCGTGCTCGCCCACCTTGAGGATTAACGACATCCCGATTTCCGCGTGAAACTCGATGTGACAATGGAACAGCCAATATCCTAGAAAATGTGTACGCGATTATTATTCACGTAGTGTTATTCTTCACTCCTCCTTGTTTTTCTTCTTTCTAATTACAGTTATGAAAATTACGCTTTATGAAAAATGACTCGACTCGGAGGAGTGATGACCGATTGGTTATGGTTCGATTGGTTATCTTTCGGTTCTCATTCGTCACTGTAATCTCGTTTTTGTTCTCAACAAGTCGTTTTTCAGATACATACGAAATATTTTTCAGAACTAAATATATTTTGCAAAATATGCAAATAATTCACGTATTTATAATTTATTAATATTTTCTATCTAAATATAAATATTTTGCGCACGTAACTTTTCGCATCGTCATATCTGTTTTTTTTTCTATTTTTTCCCTAAATAGTATGTTTGTATGTCTCTCTATGAATTCTCACCTGGATTATTAGCATGAAAACGCACAATGGTAAATCCACCATCAGGCACGGTAACTGTGTCTTTCAGAGGCGCTCGTTTAAGCTTCCTATTGATCAAGCCTTGCCTTTCCATTTCCTTCACTTCGGCGACAGTGATGTTGGTTCCAACTCTTTCCATGGCCACCACACGGAATAGATAACCGTGAAGGTGAAACGGGTGATTCGCGTCGAACGTGAAGCCTGCACAAACCAATAATCGTCGCGTTCGTTAGCGCCGATGTGAAGCAAAGCGTCGCTGCTGCGTAACGGTATTGTCCCGTCTGTGCGTGAGTCATCGAACATAACAAAATAGATCCCTATTCCGTTGCACCTTACGACATAAAGGAGACTTTTTGCGTGTTTCAACTTATTCCGCATAATGCGTTCAGCATTAAATTAATTAATGTCGGACAAATAATTATGGTAATTGAATAATTGCGAAACGCAATTTGTGTGTGATCACAGATGCGACGAAGAAAAATATTTGAGAGAAGCATATTTGTCAGCTATATGTAATATACACCTTCGTCAATCAGAACCAGTTCCACTACACTGTTCAGTTTGACTTGAAGTACATGAGTGCAAGCGCAGAAGTCTTCCTCGCATCCTTCGACGGTGCTGGAGTTGCAGAACTGATCCGGCTTAATGAGGTGTCTCTGAGACAGTAGCGGGAACGACGGTAACTTCATCGATATGTGATTTAACTGCGGCGTGAACAATCGCCGATTCCGTTCCTTCACTAAAAATCCATGATCAAGATAAATTATCGAACAATAATCAAATTCCGATTTATAAAATCTTCTCTATAAAAATATAACTACTTATATTTTATTCTCATAAAAAATATCATTAAGAATTAAATTATAGATTATTAATGCTTCAAGACTGGATAATTTTGACTTGGATTGGATTTGACAAATACGACGAGCTTCTTTGCAGAGAACTTTGCAGAAACTTAATAATAATTCGAGTTTCACCTTGGTAAAAACCGTACAAGTTCTTGCGATGAAAGATCGGATTATCCTTCCCGTAGAAATCGTACGATATATAGAACTGGTAATCTGGTTCTCTGCTAGTGGAAATGTCGTCAGGGTCCATTGCATTCAACATCGGCATACTGATGCTATTGTTCGACTCGGTTCCTTCGTTCAGAGCATTCACTTGCTGAAATTGGAGTAACATTAAAGAATTTCTCCTAATTATTTTTCTCTCTCTTCTTCGGAAACATCTTAAAGCTTTTTTGTATGGAACAGAAGACACCGAGTATCACGAGTAATATAATGCAGCACACTATTTCAGTATGCGTACCAATCCATAGGAATTATTTCGTACGCGATCGTACGAAACTTCGAGCTGCGGCTCCATGTTGGGCGCTCCTTCGTAGCGCAATATCGCGACTTGATACGCGCTCAAGAATCTCTGGTCGCAGTCCATCAGTCCGCGGAATCGCATCCAATAATTGTCCACCGGTTGATTCATCTCGACAATGAAGTCGAACCTTTCACCAGCGTAGCTCACCAGGGATTCGGCTTGATTCACGAAGAAGAAGTTAATACAATATCGCGCGAACCAACTGTATATTTCTTCCGATTTTCTTATCGGCTTGAGCTTGAATTGAAATTTTTCTCCCACTTCGGACCTCGATTTTTCAACGTTTCAAAAATTTATTGTCTACTTTAATACTGTCAGTTTGATTTCTTCTGATTTTGCTTAAATTACAGTCCATTGGAATTTGTAAATGTTAGGAAGTCTTAGCTGAAGTCGAAGATGAAAACGAAATTTTGATTTGCAAACTTTGATTTGAGACCTTACCTTGCACCGGTTCAATGTCACGTCCGTCCGAGCTGATCACGAGTAAGGTATGATTGTCGATGGAAACCTCTATGGGGCAGTTTAAGAACTCCGCGTTGATAAGCCTGAATCTGTACCGGGAGTTCTGCAAGCACAAGTCGCAAAATGTCGAATCCGCGAATTGATGAAAACTATAAAACAAAACATTTGAGCGACAAGCAAAAAATTGAGTAGAATCAAGCATGTGCTTTGGACTTTGTTCTTCACATTATTCGTTTCTTCGACCTTCTAGTCTCTTCTACAAATGAAACTTACTGCTTTCACATCAAACGTCGAGATGGGCATGTCGGCGAGTGTCTCGTTTTCGTTTCTCATGCGCGTGAAACGTCCGAGACCGTTGATCAGAAGATTTGGCGCTTTGTTGGTGCCGTTCGCGTGATGATGAGCCAGGAACATACTGTCGCCCAGCTCGTGAGCCCAATCGGTGACCACCAGAGTGTGATGATCAAAATCATAGAGATCCTTGTGCCAATCCATCGCAGGTGGAACGCGAACGATCAACGGCCCGAACACGCCATCACCTCTTTGAAATCCTGCCAGCCAGGAAATACAGGCGATGCATAACATAAATGACAAATTTGATGCGGCGAGCTCAGTGTATGCAGCGTCTCGATCTCTTGACGATTAATTATGGGTGCTTCCGAAATGTCCAGGGTTGGGTCGAGTTGAGTTAGTTCCACTATAGTATATGTAACGGATACTATAGTAAAACTAACTCAACTCGATCCAACTCTAGACATTTCAGAAGCACCTTATGTTATCAACGATTGAGCAACTGATGTTTATCTGTCGATGTCGATATCGAATATCGAACAGAGTGTATGGGTGTCATAATATCCAACGATAAAAAAAGATTAGAACTTCTGTTGGAACACACCCAAGTGAGAATGCCAGAAATGCGTGCCGCTTTCGGTGGCGACGTACTCATATCGGAAAGTCGACCCAGGTGGAATCGGGCACTGCGATACGTAGGGCACACCATCCATGTACGGCGTGGCGATGTGATGCTGACCATGCCAATGCATCGTGGTGCTACCAGAGTACAGCATATTGATCATATCAACTATTATCCTGTCACCTTGGCACACCTGTAATCAAGAATCAAATCCCTCAAACGATCCCGTCGATCAAAGTCGTCATCGGAGTCGCATCGGACCGACGTATTTACCATGCGAAATATTATCTTCTTAAGAACACGTGAATCATCATTAACACGACACGCAACAAATTAGCGGCTATTCAGTAATGGTATATATCCCCGGATTATTATCTCTCGTGTCGAGAATATTTTCAACGATTCAGCAACTGATGTTTATCTGATGTCGATATCGAATATCGAACAGAGTGTGTGTGTGTGTGTCATAATATCCAACGATAAAAAAAGATTAGAACTTCTGTTAGAACACACGCACCAAGTGAGAATGCCAAGTATCGAATAGTAATGACGGCATTTTACAATATAAATGGCGGTGGAAGTGAAAAACGAGCAAACGTGACGATCTTGGAAACAGAAACGCGAGCGATCGCGTGCTCATTAGACACTTGTGAGATACCGCAATGTCTATTAGCTGTGTCCGGATATAGATCTTTCGTGTGAATCCCGCAGCGATATCATAGAGTAATTGTGGTGTAAAACGGTGTAAAGTGATTATTGCGCTGTTCAGCGCGCAACAATGTGAGAGAATCAACGAACCGTAACTTTCCTACTTCACCAGCGGCAATTTTCAATAATCGAGAGAGATTCGTCGTTCCTTTGCTAAATTCCAACTTGTGAGAAATCATATTCGTTTCTAATCGTAGAAATTATGAACACTTCGATGAGCAATTTAGATGATGATATTTTCAACTTTATTCGATAGATACGACTGACCTTCCAACGTGTTAATAATCAATCGTGTTAACGATGAATAAAAGATCGACAATTAAATCCATATAATCGGGGACGGTCGATCACGCGGCTCACCGACAAGTCAAAATTGTCTCTACCTCGATCGGTGGGCCCGGTAACTGGCGATTTACGACCAAAACGGATCGTCGGATACCGTCTGCTGGGACGCAATGAGGCCGAAAGCAATCTGTGACGTTGAAGGGACAGTCGTAGCACGCCTTGCTCATGGTCTCGTAAGACTCCAGCTTAAAAGTGTAATAACAGTCCAGGGCTGGCTCGTCATTCCTGCACGTTCGTCTGCACGTGTGACGCATCCAGTCGACAGTGTCAGCGATCTGCGCGTCGATCGGTGTCAGTCCGAAATTATTGTGCGTCGTTATCACCGCTTCTATAAAATTGAGGAACGTTATATAAGAGCTTCCAATTTGAAGTTCGTGGTAGTCGAGAAGTGGACGCGCCAAGCCCCGAAGAATATTCGTAATCTCGAAATTTGAATCTCGAGTTGCGAGAGAGAAAAATGTCAAAGATCAAAAGTTTCCAGGACCTCTTCCTGGAATCACGGCGTGTTTTTTTTCGCGAACTGTGCACGCGTCCACCGCGATAGTTGAGTAAAATCAGCGTTCAAGAATTACTCGCGAGAAAAGCGAGAGCAGTATCACAACTCACCTGTACCGCTTTCGCGGGCAAACAGATAAGATAGAACCAGCAACACGTTCCAGATCATCGTCGTTCTCGATCTGCAATGAGAGAACGCGATCCACTAAATCATATACGAAGATCAGACGTACGCTTTAAACACATGTGTACATTTAGTTTATTATACAACGTCACGTTCCGCGGATCCGTCGAAGATAACGATGTTGCGAATACACACCGTGAAGGGAACTCGACTCAAAGACAACGATGAGCACGAATTGAAATATTCAAAAGATATTGTACGCACGTACGTGCGTATCTTTTTATACGATACGAAGGTAGCTTACGTAATACGCGTGTTTCACTGGAAGCCTTTCTCACGTTATTGCAGAGAGGATTTTGAAATCTTGCTTTTTGAAACGATGCTGCTAATTGCGAAAAACAACCGGAAGCGGCTAATATCTTCTTAACAATCCGAAAATATCGATAGCACTGAGTAGCCTGGTGTAAATTTCAAAAGAAGGAATCTTTCCGATAAAAGTCCAAATCCGACAAGAGATCAAATCAAATTTCTAATAAAATAAAATAAAATAAATTTCCAATAAAAATTTCTAAAAGAAGGCAGAACTAGTTTCTAAAAGACGTTCTATTTATTTTATGTCCCTTAAAAGCTTGCGCTATTATTAGAATAACGAATAATTTAACGAGCTATTTAACGAGTTGATGAAATGCGAGAAAAAGGATAAGAGCGTAATGAGTCGAAAATGACGCATATTGTAGAATATGTTAGGTACTGTAAGTCAGTGCTTATAACGAGCGTATGTATAAGAATTCAAAGCGAGAGAATCGTTCGACGACGCGTTCGCGCAACAACGTCCCGGAGAGAAAAGAACCCTCCTCACTCCCGATTTCTTAATCGCATTCTTAATCCTCGGTGATATTATATACATCGCTGCGACAATTCTCATTTTATTCGTATGAACGGCCGTTCGTAAAACCCGTTCGCAACTGGATGCACTCGACAGCACATGGAGTAATCGTGACGACGCCGCGATATGTCGCGATGTCGACATCCTCGTTTTACGACACGACGCGGTGTGTTATATACGACGCGTTGTATCGTGGTTTTTTTTACAAATTTAGCACGACGTGAATGACATACATGTACGCACGCGTCGACATGACACGAGGCGCAACTGCCATCCGCAATTGAGCTAATAATCGTACTTTTATTACGACAAAAAGAAAAGCATTAATTCGACATCGCACATTTATCACGCTCTTTCCTCAGCGAAATCGATTCAGAGATATCCAAACAACAATCGGCGATGCATCAACTGCGCGAAAGTAATGCGCATAATAAAACAGCAATAAATTGCTGTTGCAATTTCGTCGAATAACTTAATGTCGAGGCCGCAAATCCAAGTGCCGCAATTGCAAAGGAATGCGCACTCACCGTCCGTTACTCTCACGTCCTTACCAATTTTTCTCACAGGATATCGTCCGGATCTGCGAATAAGGATCGACAGAATGAGAATCTTCGAACTAATGCATAATCCACCGTCGCAATGTCGGTCGTCGGCGATGCGTCTCGGCGGGCGTTAAATTCTCCGTTTATGACTCGGGGTTTGGACGTCTCCTCTCGCGTGCTGGCCCGAAACTAAGTCTCTCTGATCACTTTCACCCTGAAGATTCCTCGTCTAATGTCCGCGATGCAGTGGCCGTGTAGCGGCAATGTATACCGAAGTACTGAAGAACCACCGTGCCGTCATTCGCCCCTCTCTGACCAGAGGAGTTCACTTAAGAACCGCCACTACGGCATAACGAATGACCGATGAGATGGGGGAATTCTACTTTTTTACCTTGTCTCACCTAGAGCACCAAATGAGATAGCCACGAAGATGACACATAGCACGTCGCGGCACCATCGTCCCTTCCGCCGCCGCCGCCGCTTTCCTCTTGCGTACATCCCGCAGTTTTTCCAGCGGAAATTCATATCGACGTGTTTTCCTCGCGGACCGATTTAGAACGAGCGAGATTCGCGAGCGGAAGAAGATGACAATAATGAGGATAAAGTAGCACCGGCGCGCTTTTCCGCGATTGTGACTTCATTTTTCACGGGGATCGGTCTCAAAATACACGTGGCGAAGAAAGACTCGATTTGACGTAAGCGATAGAGTCGAAGGAAAACACGCTATCTTTACCGTAATTGAACTGAACGTCCGACTAGGAGCGATAAGCAAATGTGGTGATATGCTCGCAAACAGTTGCGATATTACTTAATTTCGCACAGATAAAAAAGCCAAATGTAAAAACCGCTCAAACATACGCAATAAATATATGCAACAAAAAGTAATAAAAAGATAAAAAGAGGAAAAGATCTTGTTTTAAAAATGAGCGGAAAATTATTTACTTCATATGAGCGACAGATAAGTTAAATTCAATTAATTCGACTGTCACTTAAGAACTTGGCAAAGTATAGAGATTTCTCGATCTGCGGTGAAGTTATTACGCGATCGTATCCGATTGCTCGGAATTAACGTCTTCTTCTTCGAAAAGACGTGAAACTGACGACACTTTATTGCGCACATCGGAACAACGTATCTTGCCGATATTATCTACAACGGACATAAATCTCAACTTGCAAGTACAATTATAATTACTCGCGCTTCTCTGACTTCCTAAGATTCGCGCGTCATCGCGGATCCATTATGTAATGTCAGGATATTAATCGAATAACAATGTATGATCGTGCATCGCTGTGAATTCGTTCGAAAGACGAAACCGATCGAACGCACTTCGATACATATGTGAATACATTTTTGTATACTCGATGTTGGAAATACGCAACGCATCGCGTCTAAATCGTCAATTACAACATCAACCGGTTGTCTCACATCGTGAAAAGAACAAAGTTCGATCATCCATGTGTATAGCTCGCGACACGCACGCGTGCATGTGCGCCAAGGGATCTTCTCTTCACACGAGGAAAACATTCGTAATTTGGCCAAGATTAATCGTACTAAAATCAAAGCAGGAAAGCCGATAAATCAGACAGAAATGACGATGTCACGTAGTCGGCGAATTCAAATTTATATTGATTTTCTGGATCGAAAATCGATTTTACAACTCGTCTCTTCCTCCTCTTCTTTGAATCTGTTGTCCGTGGTAATCTCTCTCTCTCTCTCTCTCTCTCTCTTTCTCTCTCTCTCTCTCTCTCTCTCTCTCTCTCTCTCTCTCTCTTTCTCCTCGAACTTTAATTAGAGGTGTGATTTTCATTTAAGGATACAGGTAATGATAAAATATTCAATACAATTAACCGAGAGTGATATTTAATGACAGTGGCGTAACAAGAAAGGACAGATATTATTTTTAACTTTCATCTCAAATGTACTACTTAGCCGTTATCTTATCGCATTAATGACACAAATATACCTGCCGTGTTTGTCAGTACAATCAGCACCGGAAGAAACGTCTTTGAAACTGCATTTCGTCGATGTAAGATAAAAATGCGATGTGTTTCATCCATTTCAAACTAAATGTGTTGATTTTGACAAAAAGCATCGTGCTTTCTTGTTGACGTCAATTTTGGAGTTTGCATGCTACAAAGTTAACGTGTTTGTCAAAGACACGTCTCTTTCGCATACAATAGACGCAAACATATAACAGAAATAACATTGGTGAGATGATAATAATAATAAAAAAAAAGAAAAAATAATAATAATAATAATAAAGAGAATAATGCAATTCTCAAATAATGTAATTAACACTCTTTCCTAACATCTCACAAAACTGACTGAGTTGAAAGTCGAAATCGAAACAAAGTTACGCCGTTGTTCCCGTATATTTTACGCATAAATCAGATTAATATTTTTCTTCCTCTCACATATAATACGACAAAATCGACGAGACGAGCATCAATTCTTCATTATTTAGACAAGAATCCCGCATAACTGGTTCCAAGGGAATTCCCCGTGCTCTTCGGATCAATTTCAGAAACCGGTAGCCGCCGACACGCGTCAGCCGATGACGTTTGATCGTAATCGTTCTACATGGACTTCCTGGTTTCATGGAACCATGGCGCGCGAACACTTCATCTCTTCTTCCTAAAACCAGGTGCGTTAATATTAATCAATCGTGCCTTTCGTGCGTAAATCGTTTTGCATTCGTGTGATATTTGCCATTTCTTCGCGATTGTCGTAGTCTCTGCAATTCTTTGCAGAGCGATACCAGCGATAAAACCAAGGTCGCGACGACGCAACAGCGAACGTGTCGTCATTTTTTCATGAGTAGTCTCATAATTATCGTTGATTTCGTTAATAAGAAATGACGTGGAGTGGTTGCGCCTTGACTGCATCATGATGGTGCACTCGAGTTTTGGGAGAAAAAAAGGAATAAAAGAAAGAAGGGGAAATGTACGAGTGTGCGAAAAATACGCGTGCGAAAGAAGAACGGCAGAGAGACAACCCTTGAAATTGAATTCGTCAAGTCAGGTGAAAAGTAACGAGACCCGAGAGCGCTCGAACGTGCGCCTCAAGGCAAGATGTTCCCGTATATTACATAATTTAGAACGGATCGTGAAGGTCGTCGGGTGCGTAATGAACGTGTAAAGAATTACGAAAAATTGTACAGCATAGAGGGAACAATATACCCGTGCCATGAGAGGCAAAATTATCCGTATGGTAGGTACGAGCGCGCGGTCTTACGCAACGCGATTCTTCGCGATGGGCCATGGCCGCAAAACGTAGGGAGACACGAGAAACGAGACGTCGACACACCGCAGCTAACTTTCAAACTGACAGCGCGTGTTTTAGCGCAGAGACGAGACACCGAGCGCATTTGATAGTATAGTGATCAATGGGTGGGTGCGCGAATGGGTTCACGACACTCAACGGTTGAGCAACTGAATAATTCATTGAATATAAGTCAACGTTATTGGTCTGAATGTAAGGATCTAACAGTAAGGACCAATAGGACCAATCACTAACTTGCTGAACGCTGAACGCGATGAATGTCGCCTAGCTGTTAACTATAACCAGCGCATTGGTTGTAAATCCATCAAGTGTAAACTTACCCCTTGGCGATTTCTGAAGCTCATCTTCGCAAAGTATATCCATGGGTACTTCGCGCAGCACAACATTTAATCTCGCACAATTTTCCGAGCCTTTCTCACAACACTTTTTATTTAATTCACTTAATTCACTTAATTCACTTCATCGCATTCTCACAAAACTTAACCACGCACAAAGTGCGTCCTTACTTTGCTCGACCTTGACACTCCCGGCGATATTTTGCGCATAGGACTTTCTTTCGGAGAGCCGAAAGCGTACAGCGATTTGAACTGCTCCGAACTGCTGCTTTTACTAGACCTTCACTTTTCACGGCTATTTAACGTTATTCCCGACGAGATAATGACACAGACACAGACGCGAGATTCACTCTTGGCAATTCGAAATATATGCGCAAATATATACAAACAGCTCCTCGAATTTACACATTAAGCGTTGCAATCTGCTACATTGATATCGCGATGGCTAAGACTTTCAATGTGTACGTAGTACTAAGTGACACACACACACGCACACCACTCTCGCCATCTATCCAATCATAATATTCTATTCGAAACCGAATCCGAGGAGAAGTCGGCCATGACAGAAAAAGAAAAACTTACAAAAGCTGATTCGATACTCCCATCCAACGGATAACGTCCATCTCCAATCGAACAGCAAATACTTAACGATGCTACGCCATAGATACGCGTTAGACATTAACGACATTTCACGATAATTCGCGCGCGAGGCTCGATCGAGGTGAGTCGTGAGAAAACGTGAGGTTCAACCACGCAAAACCCGAGCTACCCGAGTTACATGCCGCGGCGACATGCAAAACTTTACCCGGCACTTCGACGGCTCTCACTCCACGGAAATTATTCACTTCTGGCAACTATTTAACGGTACTTCGTACGAAACTTACTTTCGGCACTCCCGATAATGATGCTTGAGGCACGAGACTCGGTTAATACGAGCCAAAATCACGAGCAACAGTTGATCGAACGTAACACTATCCTGCAGCTCGCGCCATAACTGATCATGAGTGTGAACAGTGCCACGATTGGGATATTCGTGGCACTGTCCAGCCGACCAATCATCGTCATTCATTCGATTGTTGAACCACTGACACCGCTCAAATTCAAATTCAAGATTCGCGCGAGTACTTGGGACGGTTCTAATTATTCGAAATATTTCTAATATTATCAAAACAAAAGCACAAACACTTCGATTCGTCGTAGAGAATAACGCCGGGGAAGCTGTCGGAGAATTAGATTTTTTTAAGACATTCATTATGTTTTTTGTACAATTGTGTTGGAACTTTACTCTTAAGCTGGCGTAAACATTATTTTTAACGTAATGGCTGACATAAAAGCAACAATAATATATTAATTATTACCGAACATTTTCTTTTTTTAATCACGAGGGTGTCTCACATTGCTGATCTGATTTCGGACGTAAGACTGCTCCGATATTCAACAAGAGATTGGATTTTTCAGTTTCTTGCCGTGCGGATCGTTGGCTATGGACTTTCGAGGATGAATTCAAGACGTTCTTACGAATTGTGACCGGTTGCACATAGAACATGCGGCATGAAGTTGGCTAGGGAGAATACGGGCTGCGGGGTGCGGTAGCGGCCATTCAGCATCTTGTTTGCTCGGAAATAGTATTTACGAAACATGCAGCATGTAGGATGTTGATTGGTTACTGCGATATTCCTTAATCAACTTCCGCCGCGCGGCAAGCGTGCTGCAACCGACCTATGTGAATACCAGCTCTAGATTTATCGTGCTCATCTATGCTTTAAAAGTCGATAGCTAAACTGTACGTTCATTCGCAGAATATACGGCGGACGAAAATGGCGGATGATAACGAAGATCAGTGGTTGTATGGCGATTCAGTTGAGGGAAAGGAGTATACGTCAACAAATACTCAATCGGAAATTCATCAGAATGATTCGGCTTCTGTTAAACTTCAAGAGAAATCTCAAATTTCGGAGGATCAAAAAGTGGAGAATGTTAATGAGAACCCACCTGAGGTACATGCGTCACTTAATCTCTCTTTTTCTCTCTCTTTCTCTCTCTCTCTCTCTCTCTCTCTTTCTCAAACGTTTGTCATAAATTACTTTTTACGAGATGCCTCATATAGATGCGTTTAAAGTTATCGATGAATAATTTTCTGTATCTAACACGTTGGATCTTTTTTGTTGCATTGCAGTCTTCTTCGCAGTTGTCTGCATGTTTTGAGATAGCATAACCTATATATACCTGTAAATTAAAATAAACAATTAGTGAACATTTAGCAGCAAAAGTAAGCCTACGAATGAGTGAAAATTTATGGAAAAGTTTATTTTGACTTTTCTCTTGAATCCTATATTAAAAATAAGACTAAGCTTATGTTGGAAGAAAGTTACAGGCAATTTTATAACATATTAAATTATTCCTTTCTTACTGTTTTCTTTCCCAAATATCTCTGACTTTTGTACATTTTGATATTTTCTCAAGAAACTTATTTCCGCATTAAAGATGCAGGAGGACACAAGCGGTGGCGGAGAAGAATCTTTGCTGAACAACCTACAGGAAGAGAACACGGATGCAAATAAGAATGGAACAAAAGAAGCATCTAGCCAGGAAGATGGCGAGGCACCTAGCGACTCTGATTCCGACGATGATGTCCATGTTGTTATTGGTGATATCAAGTCTACTCCAGCGTATGGTAGCTTAAACATCAAGAGAGGCGGATTGTTGACCAATGCATCTGGTGTGCCAGACAAATTGAATAAACAACCGGGAAAATTCAGCATAGAAGAGTTTGAAACGATTGGTATTATCAATGGAATACCAGCTCATGAATTTAATCTAGATCAGTTAGAGGATAAACCATGGCGGCAACCTGGTGCGGACATCACAGATTACTTCAATTATGGTTTCAATGAGGAGACCTGGCGTGCCTATTGTGAACGACAGAAGCGGATGCGGAATGAGTCTGGAGTGGGATTGATACTGAACACTGGTAGTGGCGGCGGTAATCAGGGTAGCATGAGAATGCCTCAGGTTGCGATAACTAACGATAATAGCAAGTACTCAGGGATCATGGGTCCTAAGAGAGCAGGACCGCCGCCAGGACGGAAAATGGCTGGTACTATTGATGTTATTGGTAGTTCTGGACTAGCCTCGAGGAGAAATCTGGACAAATCGCCACCGAAAGGGAATGTTATACAAGTAATGACCGCGGACAGGAGGGAATACTCGAGAAAACCCGGTTTCCCTGATATGAGCGTGCCACCACCCGGTGCGGGTATGCCACCGCCATTCGACATACCGCCGCCGGGGTACGCCGGTGAACCCACGTCTTTCTATATGCCAGACGCAGACCCATATTATCAGAGTTATGAACCGACACAGGACAGTCAATGGGGCAACGATCCGGTAAGGAAATTGCGTTCACGCAATGTATCTGAAAAGGTAAGAAATATTCATATGATCAATCTTCTTTTCTCATTCGTTTTTGTCATAGACGTGGCAACCGACTAACCTTGCTATCCCGATGACCGAACACGAGGACGACAAGGACATTGGACCTAAGACGATACCCACTATGGTGCCACCGACGTCAATTCCGCCTCTGATACAGTCCCGTGATCAGAGGGACGGTAGGGATCGTGAACGAGACAGAGACAGAGAGCGCGACAGGGAGATGGATTCCATGGGCAGAGACAGGGATAGGGATAAAGACAGGGAACGCGATCGTGAGAGGGAAAAAGATCCGATAATAAGGGACCGTGACAGAGAGAGGGAATCGATGACGAGAGACGAGGATCGAGAGCGCGACAGATCCAGATCTCAGTACCGGCACAAGGATAGGTAATGGACGTATTACTGCCACTAAATTCTGCACCGCTTCTATATTAGTAATTATTACTAGTTTATATTATTTGTATATGACTTCTCTTTTGTAATTATTAATACTAAATCAGTGCAAAATTCTGTGTCGCGTGCGTTTTTTGCTGTATAATATAAACACAATTCTAGATTCCAGACTCTTGGTTCTTTGTTGTTGAACGATACTTAATAATAGTTTTCTTTGAACATTGCTTAATAGTAGTAATCTTAATAGCCAGGCTTTCCTCTTTTTAGGATTACTTGATTTGATCTTTGCGATTTAATGTAGGGCTTACTCAGCCTGTAATACACTATGATGAGACACTACTTTGTGCCAAGGTACTATTTACCTGGACACCTGGACACTCAATGCTGATTACGCGGTATTTTCTTTCAGGCATCGGCATCGGTCAAGATCTCGATCTCGCAGGCACAAATCGAGATCACGTAGTCCGAGTAGGCGTAAGAAGAAATCCAGACGTTCGGACAGAGAGCGCTCCAAGGAAGAAAGTGAATAATTTTAGTAATTGCATACATACATACCTGCGTACATGTTACTACATGTATTAATTGGTCGATGGGCTATTGTAGCGCAACTCGACTTTATAGACCACTAAAGAGATCTTTTCATAACGAGATGTTGCGGCTGTTAATCTATAAACCCAAAAATGCTTGTGCGTAGAAAATGCGAGCGATAATGCAATTAATTTACGGAAGGACGTTTTAGATAATGTAACTCGGGAAATTGAGACTGGTTTCTATTTGTAAATTTACAATAAACTGCACTTATAAACCACACACACATACACGTTTGTATATGTATGTATGTGTGTATGTGTGTGTGTGTCTGTATGTGCATGTAGCTATAATAGTATTTAAGAAACATATTCTTCGCTTCTTATTGTAAATCGTATAATTCAACTGTTTTATTTCGCAAAAGAACAAAGAGAAACTGCAAATTACATGTTCCACATTTTCATGAGATCTTTTAATCGCAAAGATTTGCATTAGTGTGCCTAATTGCAAAACAAACTTTGTTTTGCCGAAGTTAATTGTTTGAAAACTACAAGTAGAAAATAGAATTATGTTGAATTATATGTGTAAATCTCAACCAGAGACTCGAAATGTATTTCTTGTAATTCCTGTTCATAAATTTTCACAAATCTGGAGAAGGAAAAGAAAGAGATATTACGATAATAAAGTAATATTTTCCAGAAACGTTCTGTGCGTTTTTGTGCATTCTGTACACTCCGTGCTTTTCGCTACATTTCTTTGCGTTTTTATATATTTCTGGGCGTTCTGTGCATTCTGTGCGTTTGTGTGGGTTTTACGTAGTCGTGTTGTCAGACATGTGGTCGTCGTCGGCCACTTGGTCGCCGTCGTCACGTCGTTCACGTAGTCGTGTCTATTATCGTTCTTTAATTATCCCCGGGCCCCTTGAGGCCCCCATACTGGTACAAAAATTTACCCATCACTGGCAATCTTTAATATTATTTTGTCGGTGGTGAGATTTCTCTGGAACGTTAAATCTTGTAAGGTTAAACAGTCTTTATTAGTATTTTGTCAGTGCCCTAACTTATTGCGTTAGTTCAGCAACGCAGCTAAAAAGAACAGACCCTTTATGTTTATGGTATTGTTCGGTTGTTGTCTCTCTGCGCATTGAGTGATTGAGATACAGACACATAATACGTGACATGTGATGTTAGGTTATTTGAAATATCTGAAAATATTTAAAAATACGGTAAATGTGCAGAAAACGGGCCTCCTCACCAAATCGAGTGAAACTTTGTCATATTATGTATTTCGATACGTAGAATATAGAAATGAAAGTTAGAAACGTCGCTCTGCAACAGGACGAAAGATATAACGCGTTAAAGATTAACACTTTTCGGGGTTAATAAATCTGTCGTGTCAACGATGCACTGATAGAAGAGCATGCGCAGTAACATGTGGTTTGTTCTTTTTGGTTGCATTGGGCGTTTATATCAGTGTACATCAGTTCAGCAGCTAAAGAGAATAGACCATAAGAGCGCGATTGTACACCACACACACACACTCACACACCGAAGGGGGGTGCGGGGGGGCCGAATTGCGACTTTGCACGTGAAGCGAGTTGCACCCGCCGACCCTCGAGGGGGGGTGCGGATGGGGGGGCCGAAGTCCCCCGCACCCCCCTTCGGTGTGTGAGTGTGTGTGTGTGTGTATGTGGGGTGTACAATCGCGCTCTTATGGTCTATTCTCTTTAGCTGCTGAACTGATGTACACTGATATAAACGCCCAATGCAACCAAAAAGAACAAACCACATGTTACTGCGCATGCTCTTCTATCAGTGCATCGTTGACATGACAGATTTATTAACCTCGAAAAGTATCAATCTTTAACGCGTTATATCTTTCGTCCTGTTGCAGAGCGACGTTTCTAACTTTCATTTTTGTATTCTACGCATCGAAATACATAATATGACAAAGTTTTATTCGATTTGGTGAGGAGGCCCGTTTTCTGCACATTTACCAAAAATACTAATTCTTTTCCACAGAATTGTGAGTGTAATCTCATTTAGCTACGCTCAACTGTCTCTCCATTCTTTCTTACATTCCACATCAAGTCTGATTTTAGATTGTACTACATCCTGATGCCATGCTCGCGTTAAGAGATTATGGTAGCAGCGACGACGGTAGTGATGAGCCTGGCAGTGAAAAATCTTTTGCAAGTATCGAAGGTGAAGAAGTAAAGCGCAGCATGGACGTAAATTTTGCATCTAAACCGTTTGTCGTTGACAAGTTACAAATTCCCATTAATTTGCAACTTTGTTCTGCGCCTGAGGTTGTGCCTACCGTAAGAATTTGTGTACATATTATATTATATATTCGTGTTGTGTTTTCATGTTGCGAGAAATGAATTCAGAATAGCTTAAAGGCTTTATTTCTGTCAAATTGCATAAATGTACAGTACACATATACACACAAGTATCAATTTGTTTGCTTTCGGTTATTATTATAGGGGACAGAGTTATGCGTGAGGCATGTAGACTCCACCACAAAGGAAGTTATGCACAATCCAAAGTTTGAGGAACTTTTTACACCAGATGTTGGGCCAGAAAATCCATTCAAGACTCAACAGCAGCGAGCTGCGAAAAATATGCTTTCTGGATATGTGGAACGCGCACACATTAGTGAATTCCAGTTTGAAAATCAGAGGAGGACATTTGCTAGTTATGGTAAGATACATACGTTGTATACTATATAGCGCTGTATAGTGCTGTACTATGTATTTCTATAACTGTATCTGCTAACCAATACTTAATATTTTTAGGATACGCGCTGGACCCAACAGTAGATGGTAGTGCGGATGAGGGTAAAATTATAATCGGCGCAAAAGAAGCAGCTGAAGAATCTGGTGGCAAGACTGTTTTCGAGAATACTGCATTGAGGCCATCAGACAAAAGAAAGCGACAAAGAAATAATGATCCCTCAGATATAGAGGGTTTTCTGGGACCATGGGGTGGATATGTGGATGAGAAGCGAGTCGTGAAACCGAGCGAAGAGGAAGCAGCCGAGTTGGAGGAAATATTGGCTAAACGGAATAAACGGGGGAAGCAAATGGAAGAGAAGCCATTGGAAGAAAAGACCGTGTTACATAGTAAGTCATACCACATGTCGGATATATTAACACAAACGATATTTTTATGTGATATATATATATATATCTCTCTCTCTCTCTCTCTCTCTCTCTCTCAAGGATACTTCAGTTTCAGTATTTATATGATTTGCTTGTAATGTAATTTTTACATCGCAGTCAAAGACAGCGTGGATTATCAGGGACGTTCGTTCTTGCACGCGCCACAGGATGTTGGTGTAAACTTGAGGTCGGAATCGCCACCTGACCGCTGCTTCCTGCCAAAAGCGCAAATCCACACGTGGGAGGGCCATACGAAGGGCATCTCGCAGATCCGTTGGTTCCCTCGTACTGCGCACTTGTTATTGTCTTGCAGTATGGACTGCAGAGTGAAGGTAATTCGTTTTGTCCATCGCATAATGTCTTCTGAATGTTAATCTTAATTTATATGGTTGTCGATCTCCTAAAGTGTTATGTCTTCAAATTTCATACGCAAAAATATTCTATTGTGCGCAGTTGTGGGAAGTGTACAAAGACAGGAGATGTGTCCGTACATATTACGGACATCGGCAAGCAGTGCGTGACATCAGTTTCGACAACGACGGCAAACGGTTCTTGTCCGCGGCGTATGACCGCTATGTGAAATTGTGGGACACCGAAACGGGAGCCTGCATCAGTCGCTTCACGAGCAGGAAGATCCCGTATTGCGCCAAGTTCAATCCTGATCCAGATAAGCAACATCTCTTCGTGGCTGGTACTAGCGATAAAAAAATCATTTGTGTGAGTATCGTACGATGCATATTAATTACGAAAAAAATCATAATATATTTTAGGCTCTCGGAAAGAAATACTTACTTGATCCGACATGTACGCAGCAGGTCTCGGCATAATGCTTTCATCATCGAAAACCTGTTGTATATATTACAACTTTGTGCACATAGTGCACAAAATAAATTTATAGAAACTCGTGTATCAAAAAGTATGAGATGAGACTTCAAGTATGTATGATATAAATTTATGAAAATATTGACCAATAATTTTGCACCATACAGTGGGATATACGTTCCGGTGAGGTAACACAGGAGTACGACAGGCATTTAGGCGCCGTGAACACCATCACGTTCGTGGATGAAAATCGCAGATTCGTGACCACGTCGGACGACAAGAGTCTTCGCGTTTGGGAATGGTATGGATTTATACTCTGGTCTACCTTCGGCGAACGCAATTTCGCGCGTCATGATAATGATAGACACGTTACTGAGAACAAATACTTCTTTCGCACAGGGACATTCCGGTCGACATGAAATATATCGCCGATCCGTCGATGCACTCGATGCCGGCAGTGACACCATCGCGTAACCAAAAGTGGCTTGCGTGCCAGAGTATGGACAACAAAATCGTCATATTCTCGGCGTTGAATCGATTCAAAATGAATCGGAAAAAGACCTTCACGGGGCACATGGTCGCTGGATACGCTTGCGGCTTGGATTTCTCTCCAGATATGAGGTACAATGCAAATTTGCTGAAAACTGAAGAGATCAGGGCGACTTATTCTGGACTAGTGTATTGAAACACTGAATCTATATCTCATTTGGATTCTCAAGTTGATAAAACAATATGATTATACGTGACGCTCGTAAATGAGAAAAATGAAACTTGGAATTAATTAGGATACACTTAATATTGTTTGTTGTTGGTGTGCGTCCAGGTTGTTAAGATGAGAATATATCAAGAGTTTAGATAACTTAATTAGATTACAATTTTTGTTCCATTTTAGTCACGAGTTATTCAAATTTCTCTCTTTCAGCTATTTGGTATCGGGTGATGCGGATGGCAAATGTTACATATGGGACTGGAAAACCACGAAATTGTATAAAAAATGGAAGGCGCATGACGGAGTGTGCATCGACGTGCTGTGGCATCCGCACGAGCCCTCCAGACTCGCCACGGCCGGATGGGATGGCAAAATCAAGTACTGGGATTAAACAACTGGTTCCAGCATTGTGTATATATTTGGTGTGTCTTCGAAGGAGGATACGGATATTGTAAAAAGAAATATATAAATTACAAACTTCTTTTTATGGAATATAAAGTATGAGATTATTTTAAATGATGAGTCCATCTCTGCGCGTATCTTAATTTTCATCCTCCTTTCGCAGATCCTCTAACTTTTGGACGAATATATTCACTCGCTTGTGTAAACATATGACGCTCGACTTCGTGTTGCAAACTGTCGTTGCGATACACTTTTGTGTGTGTGTGTGTGTGTGTGTATGTGTGCACGTGGTATCAGCGCAATAATATACGTAGAGAAAGAGAGAATGGAATCCTCCCCCTCCCCGGGAAGGGGAGAGAGAGCACCGGGGAATCCTCTTATCTGACGATATAAATATCGCGAGGCTGCCGCGTTCGTGTCTTGTGTGCTGCTTTCAACCCTCTATGGCCGATGTGTCAGCGAATCATCCGCGCCGCTTTCACTCTGGCAGACGGAAAAAATCAATATCTGCGCGTCACGACGCGCCCGATGTGTGCCCACTCGTGTTCCCGTGCAGTCGCGTCTTAGATTTTCCTTACCTAGGCTGCGAGAGCTCACGTTGAACGTGGCGTCGATTTTTCTCTTACATGTACTTAGCGGTACATCTCGCCCGCGTGAAATCGCTCACGAATCTTGAACGTTATGCGGAAGTTTGGTATTCGTTGAGGGTGCGGACGGAAGTAGCATCTATTACCACACAGTAAAGTAGAACGTGAGTTTCTTTCTCCCTCTCTGCCCGTATGTTTACGTGCATCTTGTGTTTGCGATAAATTAGAGTAACCGATTAGAGGAACCGAGATTGCGAGTGCGTCGCAATCATTGGTAGTTGAGTCGCAATTTGCGTAAAATTTGACAAGGATAAATAAATAATTCTCGACTGTGAGAGAATTGGAACGAGTAGTCTGTATATGTTGTACATGATATACGCATACGTGGTTGATCAAATTATTTCCTAGCCTTCAGGTATCACACGAATAAGTGGAGTATAAGTGGTTTTTCTAGACCGTATAAAGTCTAAATATAAGGCTTCCTGAAATTACTTACATCTGTTAAACGCTGTCAATACACGCTGTCAAACGCAGCTGTCAATACTTATATTAGGATTGCCAGACGTCCAAATTTCAATTTCACAATTGGTCTAGATTTTATCATCGATATCTGCCAAAATAGACAGATTTGTCGTATGCATAGAGACTGAAATTTCGAGAATTAAAATTCGAGAAACATAAAAATACGAAATAGAAATGCGTCCTTACGCAAGAAATATTGTAGCAGCATATTAAAGAAGTAATCTGATCAAAATTACGGCAAATTACATGCCATGTAATTGTGTCGGTAAAAAATTGCAATTATTGCAGGAATAACAAGCTGATATTTTTTGCCACAAAGTATGGAATAATAAATATACGTATTTCTTACAACGAGCATATTACAAACTGGCAACCCTAATATTTATATGTATATTATACATATGTTTGATATATATTTTTGTGAAAGGGGAAGAGCTTCCCCCGTATAAAAAAATAATTTTACTCACACACACACACACACATACTTATGTGAGTGTGTGATATGCTTAATGTAAAAATAAAATTACATGACTGTACAAAGTACGGACACAAAGGTACATTAGAGGTACATCTATTTAGAAAATCTACTCTGTTCAGAATCTCAAAGATGATGGACGGGCCCGGATTAGGATATTCGTATCATCTTCCATCCGCTGGTTGGAATCTCAAAGTTAGAAACGCGCTGTCGCAATTCAGCGACCTGTTCAGTGAATTTAACAAGTACATCGCGCCAGCTTATCACCATGATCGCTGCGAGAGGTACGTCAACCTTCGGAAAGTTCGGAGTATAAAATTTGAGCATAAGATATTCAGAGAAGAGGATACTTCTTCGAACGATAATTTGTTTGTTCTACAGAGAAGTTCGTCTAGAGAAGTATAAAGAAGTATCTTCGGAGAAGGGGGCGTTTCGTTTCGTACAATTTGCACTTGTACGCTTCCTAAAGAATGATTTTCTTAGTATTGTATATTTGATAGTAAACTTATTAATAGAGCATTGAGCTAAACGCGTGCGGAGCAAAGATAAAAGTATATTTATTCAATTATTTCTCGACCGATCGCGCAGCGAATATGCAATGCGTATGAAATGTCAAACAAATACACTACATCTCTTACTGTACAGATCTGTAAAAATGCGTCTGTATTCGATGCACAAGAGGGAATTTGCCATGGTGTTCATCGCATTCTTGGTATGCTTCGGACTGGCGGTATTTATTGGCGTCGCCGGTTAGTATAGCAACGCAATTTTAATTCAATTAAATCTTCCCTTTTCACGACTTTCCCGACATTTATCTTTCGATTTGATATCATTTCACACGCGTTATAATCATTATCATTGCGTAATTATGATTGTGTCATATATTATTATATTCATATTATATTATATGTAACATTTATATATATATAAATGTTTATAAATTTATATATATATATATATATAAATTTATAAACATTTAACATTTATATATATAATATAATATATCGTAATAATTCATCATATATAATTACGAACAAAATAATTCGTCAATTTGTTAACGCTCTTTACAGGGCCGCCTATAATATCGACTAGCGAACAGAAAGCGCATCTGAACAGCAGCGAAATGGCCACTGGCCCATTCATCATGAAGACGCCTCTGTTGTCCACGTATAGCCAGCAATTGTGGGTGATCGCCAAGTTATCGACATCGAACAACGACGGTAATTAAATAATGTCAAATTTTCACCAGTGGGGGGCTTTTACTACGGCGTGCGATCCCATCTAGTATCTAATTGTATAATTATATCAGGGTGTTAATGCATGCTTTGCAGATGAAAGATACGACAAGGGGTTTCAAGTTAGCGTCTCTATAGACGGTATCACTTCCAGCCGCAAACTGGTGTCTGTGCTGCCGCTGGAAGCCGGGCATAATCGGTGAGAGAATAATCCATACCCTCCGCATACCTCTTATTTCGAATGTCGTTAATATTATTATTAATATATATATATATATATATATATATATATATACTCGAGATAAAAAATTTCGAATCGAATTAAATTAAAAAGTCGAATTTTCCCTCGAACTCCTCTCTAGGACCAGACATCTCAAGTGCGAGAGGCAATCCTGCGAGGAGCTGGTCGTCGCTCATCTGGGCTTTCTCGACTACAGCTACTACATCATCACCGTCCGTTTCCACGGGCTCGAGAGCTTCCATCAGCGTTACACGATACGGCAACTCACATTCTACGTCAGTAAGCACTGCACGAGATCACCCCCTGCCCCCTTCCTCATTGACAGTAAAAAAACAATGTCTCGCACACTCAAAACTTTACTTCTTTAAAACGTTCTTTCTTCCTTCATGTTCTTCCTCTCGCTTGTTCGCCCACAGTTCAAGAACTATAATCCGGCGTTCACGCAGATCGAGATTTGGTTCCGGCTGATCTTCCTGCTTACCACGTTTGGAGTGATGGTAATTCGTCCTCGTCGGTATGACGTGACGCGTAAAAATGAAAAAAAAAAAAAATCCAAACGGAGCCGAATAAGCACTCCGCTGAAAAGTATTTCTTTTTTCTAACGCTACTGCTTTCAGTGCTGGTTCGGTCACTCGCTCAGGAAGTATCCGCTGCATGATTGGTCGATCGAGCAAAAGTGGATCTCTATACTTCTTCCATTGCTGATTCTCTATAACAGTGAGTAAATGTCGCGTCGACCACCGCTTGACTTTACCGAACGTCTCTTATGCTAAATCGTGTTTGCATATGCTTCACCTGACAGATCCGCTGTTCCCCATGACCTTCTTGGTGAACTCCTGGGTGCCCGGAATGCTGGACGCGATTCTGCAGACCACCTTCCTGTGCGCCATCCTCATGTTCTGGCTCTGCGTCTATCACGGCCTCAGACAGGTATTAATGCGCGGATGAGCGTGAGATTACAAAATTGGTCATACACACACACACACACACACACACACACACACACACACACACACACACACAATTATTATACAAATATCATCAAAGGGGAAGAGGAGAGATGATGTGTGTGTGTGTGTGTGTGTGTGTGAGATCCTATATTATATATATATACATGATAGAAATAAAAGTACAAATTATATGTGTGGTCTCTCTTATTTTCTGTTTCTCGTCCGTTTAGAATGAGAGACGACTCATCACATTTTACCTGCCTAAGTTCCTGGTTGTGGGTATGCTGTGGGGCGCGGCATTGATGTTCGCCACGTGGCTTCGTTGCACCGAACTGGAGGATCCTACATATAATTACGTCCTCGATACGTCTAATTACTACGTGAGTTGATCGTCGTAGACGCTTATTCGTTCGGTCAACTTGCGCCAACCGCGTTGGCGCCAATTCTCAATTAATTAACAACAACTCTCACTTCGGCCGCGTACATTTCATGACAGGATGAACGATCACGTACGCACGTACGTTCTGTCGCACTTACTTTTTCCAGGGCTTCAAGGTCTTCTTCTTCACAGTGGGCGGCTTTTACATTGCGTATTTGCTGTTTCTCATCTTAAGGGCATACAGCGAACTACGATGTATGCCATACTTTGGTGAGTGCATACCGTGCTATGCTTCTCCGAAAAACTGCAAAACAGAAATTCTACGTCAGCGTGATGCAGCGTGAACACTGTGCAACGGGAGACATTTTTGTTTTTCGATTATTGCAGATCTTCGTTTGCGTTTCTTGACGTTATTCGTCACGGTGGTCGCAGGTGTTTGCTGCTTGGTCACCGCTCGTCATTTCGGAGCCGGTGTATTGGAGGACAGCTTCGCATCTCGTCTCTCCACTTATTACCGCACATCCGCACAGTTCATGGCCCTTTACGGTCTTCTCAATTTCTACCTGTACACCATGGCGTACGTTTATGCGCCCGCGCTCCAGCAGGTTTACGGACAACGTGAGTATCTAATTAATTGTACAATTATATATCTGTAACTGTCATGTGTACATATATATATATATATGACAGTATACACGATCAGTATACTACGACTCGACGACGATACGATCGTTTGTATCGTCCGTCGAGCGCATTTTCGAGCGTATCGTAATATTTAAAGAAACTTTAGCTGCTTTATCTCTTTTGCTAGATGATATTTCATCTTTTATCGTTGCAAAGAAAACAAGCTTTCTGCTCGATTCATTGTTTTAGACTTAGAACGTTTGTATTTTAGATTCGTCCATAACGAAGGATAATCCCGCATTTTCGATGTTTAACGATTCAGAGGAAGAAGTCATATATGGATCAGACGAGGACAGTCGGCGACCGTTGACTCGCGCCCCGCGAAACGCGGAGGACAGTGATTAAAGGCCTTAATGCGAAAGACAAGAGAAGAACGAGGAAAAAGCGAAACGTTTTTAATATGCTACGCTAGTTAAAGGATAGATTCGTCGAACGAGGAGACCAGTCAAGAGGAAAGAGCCAGCCCCGACGCGACGGGTACCGGCTTCCCGGATCGCGTGTGTTCTAGTTATTCAGCAGTCGTACTGCTGAGGCCGTAAAAAGGAAGAAAGAACAAACGCGATATCGTGTAGATAATAATTTTGTTGAGGAATTAAACCTGTGTTGATCTTGGACGAAGATTTCGGCAATCGGAGTCACGTTTACACAGGACTCGGATATTAAAGTATAATGTAAAGAAGAAGACAAACATACACACACATCCACACATACACCGATAACGTGAAAACACGCTTCGTGTGTTGCAGCGTACGTAGAAATAACGTAATAACCGATGATGGAGATTCATGTGCGATTTAAACGTTTGTAAAAATAGTTATATATACTTTGAACGAAAGAGAAAAGGAGAGAAAGAGATCAAGAAAGCAGTACACACATGTTTGTTGGTGGTTTTAGCATTTCAACGTTTAGAACGAGACAAATGTTCCTTCATTTTCTCGTACGAAAGTAGCAAAAGAAGAAGAAAAGGAAACGCGTATGGAATCAGCGTGGCTCAAAATGGCATTGACACTTGAAAATGTCGCTGTATTTTGGACCTGGTAGCGCAGATATTTACGAAACATTCCATTGCATCTCCGTTTCTTCTCAACGCCAGTGATCACGAAGAGACAAAGTGGCGTGAAAAAGAGCAATTTGCAAGAAGTTACAAAATCGAAGTTTTTAAAACGTCACTCTTCCATAATCGCACGCGAGTCGTTGACAAAGTAAATTTTTTACCTGATATCTTGATCGTAAATTCCAGGTATACACCGAATCAGACCCGATGATGATGATATAACACGCCTCGATAACGCGCCTGTGCGTAACTTAGAGAAATGCATAAAACGGCGAGACGAGAGAGGCAGCAAACAAATATTGTATTACGTTACGTACTCGTAAGATATTACAATAGTTTTTATACGAGATGTATTTAACTGTTGGTATGGCGAATTTAATAAAAATAAGAGACACATAGCTAAGAGCATACGCAGCGAGCATCACCGAGAGGAAGCGTTAACGAAGATCTACTAAACTAAAGAAAGAGAGAAAGAAAGAAAAGAAAAAGAAAGAAAAAGAAAGAAATAAAAAAAAGAAGAGTGTGCAAATGTAATACCGATGTAAGATACGTGTGTTTTATACCTGATATCCTATCTGCTCAACCCTCCTCCCCTCACCGAAAGAAAAAAAAAAGGAAAAGAACAATAGAAACTAAGACGCAAGTACATACGCCTTAGAAAGGAAAAGGAACGGAGAAAATCAACAGGATACTAATCGTCGCTATGATTTTGTGCCGCTAACGCTGTCGTGTACGTGATTGGTTAATAAAAACGATTTGCAATCATTGCTTACATACTTGTTTGCTCATTTGTAGTTGCATTCTCCTTCGCGAGGACGGCGTCATTCGAAGACCCATCCTGGACAACAGGATACTTATTTGTTGAGAGAACCGTCTGCGTAGAGAAGAGAGTCTGCGTTCATGGCGCTGTTACCACACTGTGATCATTCCATATCGCTGTTAGGTATATTATTGAGCGACGTACCTGTAAAAGTAAGGTATAGGATGTATGAACAATATGGGAGCGAGTCCCTAGAGATATAACCTTCCTCCTTTTGTTTATTTACTTTATACATAGAGCCGAGTGAATAGACGAGCAGCTCGAAGTAGCGAACACCAAAAAAGCAATAGATACCGTAACGATAATACACGTCATTCAGGCGCCCGTCGGCGGAGGTTGAGCGGGATGCGGAGACGCATCGAAGGCTTGGAGAACACCTTCGAGTCAGGCTCTCGCGCAATTAAAAAACGCGGATCAAAAACGTTCGAGTGTTCGAGTGGGTTGAATGCGCACATTCAAACTACGCTGGCGCGTAGTCGGAGATCTCCAAGGGAAAGCGCGCACGACGAGATCACCAGCGTATCCCAGCCTTAAAGCTCACCATCCAGCACTAAGAGGTGCAATGGACATCGAGGGAAGAGCCCGGTCTAGCGATTAAGAAAACATCTGAATCGGACCGGTGTCGAAGGGGAAACGCACGGCGACACGACGGTATCCGTAATTAAGAGAAATCAACTAATTAAGTGTAAGCGATCCCGCTCATCCGTGGAATATTAGAAAATAATGATTCGGTTAACTCTCACCAACCTTCTGCACGAGTGGTGATGGCACCTCGGGTTACCTCGGGCGTCCAACAGCGACTGACTAACTCACTCTATCGCGACATTGTTCTTATGATCCGCGTCTCTATCTCCCACACGTAAACACATCGTTCTCCCCACTCCTCATTGTGATCGTTATTGTTTTTCAACGTTTCGAACGGCCATTTCGGATTTTCATATGCAATCCACTCACACCTCGTACGATGTGAATGCTTAGGTATTAAAAGCAAGAATCGATTCTATATTTTTATTACAATTATATGCTTTCCTTCAAAGCTATTCGCAACAACCGATCGACGGCATTCTTTAGAAAAATGGGGAGGGGAGGGGGGAGAAAAGGAAAAAGGGGCAGACAAGTAAAGAAAAAGAGGAAAAAGAATATTTGCCTCATATACCGAAGAACAAAAGCACAAAAGAACCGCAGAAATTACTTTGCCGGGAACAATATATTATTGTTCCTGGCAAAGTCTCTAGCGTTGTTGGTTCGATGCTGAAAATCATTCGTTCACCGCGTTTACTCCTCCAGCAGTTTTAGATTCGTCGAAAATCTCAATATCAAAAAGGAAAAAGGAAGATCTCATCACACACAAATGTAACGAACTCTCTTCGCAACTGGATGCATTTTCTTCGTCTCATTTCTGTCTCTCCGGCTTGGAATAATATGTTCTAATTTCCGAGCGATTTTCGAGTGCGAATTTTTCAAGAATCTAACGTGACTTTATCGTGAAACAAGGGACAGGAATGCAACGCCGCATACAGGCAGACTGAGACAGAGAGATAAAGATAAAAAGGAATTGCCATTCAATGTATGGTTTTATATCATAATGTTATTACAGAAATGGTATTTCATAATAACTAAAAGTAATAGTATTTTACCGGTAAATCACTCGCACAGGTGCGCCGCCGGATCGATGGGATTGTCGCGTCGTTGCGATTCTCCTCATATCGATCGTCGCACGCATTTTTTCTTTTCTTTTTTATTTCCTGTTTGTTTTATTTCTCTTCTTTTCTCTTAGTTTTATTCCTCACGATTTGCCTCTTTCGCATCAAATCTCCTGTTTTTGTCCTCATTTATCTTTATTATCATCATACATAATGGAAAAAAATGTTACATTTGTACAGCCATCATATACATGTTACATTTAGAATACCGTTAATCCATTATCCACTTTTTACTTTTTTGTCTCGTTAAATGTGTATGTATGCGTATGTGTGTAGAGTGCGTATCTCTGTGATGGGGCTTTTTACCTCTTTTTCGTTTCCCTCTCCTAAAATACATGTAAGTATATGTGTGTTACCTCAGCGTGGCTATGTATTGCGTGCGTGCGTGCGTGTGTGTGTGTGTGTGTGTGTGTGTGTGTGATATATGTGGACATGCCTACTTATGAAGAGTGAAATACTATTTTTTTTCCTTTCTTTTTTTAATATCAACACAAACTACCAGCACGGCTCTCTGCATCGTACAGTCAACCGCTAGGAGGTGGAATTCACACGGACAGGGATTCGCGACGGTCACACGCCGCGTTGTATTTCTGAGATTGATCATGGTTGATGATCGTTTCGATTTAGTCATCTGCATGTATTCGCGGCATTTCACTTTTATGTGTATACTTGGATATATAAATTTCTATAATAACCGCCGAATATACAACCAAGAGAGCGAAGGGAAGTGTTCTATATGAAATTTTCATTTATCACGCGATGCATACGATCGTCATCCGACGCGTGGAATATTTATTATTCATTTACTAATTCATGTATGTCTTCATTTATCTGTTCTGTATCTATCGCGTCTGTGGATTACGATTTCTCAACCTCCCGATTACGATGAGTGTAGATCGCCCTACGTGCAATTTGTATTAAAAATTTAGAGAAGAGAGAGAGAGTGTGTGTGTGTGTGTGCGTGTGTGTGTGTGTGTGTGTAGTGTATGAGTGCGACGCGGAACGAGAGTACAAAAGATGACGATATATCATAAAAATAATAAGATCCTAAAAGTAGTTGTATGCTGTGCAAAAAGAAAGAGACAACAGAAAGAGAGAGAAGGAGAACGAGGAAGAAAAGAAAGAAAGAGAGAAGAGGAACGAGAAAGTAAAATAAAAAAAGCAAACTTAAGCACGATAATATGTCGGAGGATTGCGCGTACGCGGTTATGCATGAACGAGCTGGTCAGTCAATCAATCGACAGATCGATCGTCATATCGTTCATTGCACTTACCATAGCTGTGAATATTGTAATTCTGCAAATTGCGGCGCGAACGTATATTTATTTATTTATAACTATACTGATGTATGTATGCATAAAACGATTTTATAATCGATTATCTGTAACTTTATTTACTTTATTAATTGTTTCGATGCGCGGCTGGCCGCTACCCCGAGACGATTCTAAGATGATAATAATAATAATTCGATAGACTTATAATTTTTAGTCTTGTTCGGTGTGCCGTAGGCGTGTGTATGTGTATACATTTGTATGTGTGGAGAATACATTCACATTTTCATGCTTTTCCATTGTCGGGAAACACATTGTCCCTTTCTTTAATCTCTAATAAATGATAATCGTCGACATGATGATTTTATTACTGGCAAATTATTCGGTGGATTTTTAGTGCTAAGATTCGTCCTTATTAACACATAATTTATAAAAATTGCTAATAACAAGCGATCAATCGTAGAATTAATGAGAAAATCGTGAAATTGGATAATTATCCCCGAGCCTTCTTTTCCCGTACACGTATCGTCGAACCATGACAATGAAGTTATACGAAAGTGATTGAAGAGCCCCTAAGAAGGCAATACAAGCCACAAATCTTGAACAAAGATCGGACAATAATAAAAACATCACGAGGAAACAATGCTGCAATGAAAGCGATAGTAATAGCGCTGGTACGTATTACATGCCTGTTTTTTTAGTATTGTACAAACGGTTGTTTCGCGACATTTAATGAGATTTGTCAAACTCGAAAATGCGGACGAGTGGGAAATTAAACGGTCATATATCTCTCTTTTCTTTCTTTTTTTTAGCCAAACGACTTGGTATGTGTGTGTGTGTGTGTGTGTGTGTGTTGCGTGCGTGTGCGTGCAAGCGCGCGGTAGTTTTTCTTTTCTGCATGTACCTTTCGAAGTGGCAGGATATAACAAAGACTTTTCGGATTCGCGCTAATATAACGCACTTTTTTCGCGCGAGACCGCCCTCGAGATAATAAAAATGCTCTTTCGTTCATTACGTCGTATTTTTCTTGTTTTTCCCTTGTTTCCTCCCTTTCATTTAAAATGGTACAATGACGCGTTTTCTTTTTTGTGTTCTCTTTTTTCATCTACTCGCACTGTTCTGCCTGTTTGTAAAAAACATTGTCGAAAATGATGATTTTTCTTATTCTCTTCGTCTTCGTGGCTATTTCATCGTCTCTACGTTTTCTTTTTGTTTTCTATACACTAATATACAAGTTACGCGATTTGCTTTTCACCTTCCCGTTTTTTCCTTGTTCTCTTTCTTTTTTTTTTTTAATCTGTATATGTCCGTCTTCCCACTTATCTAATTATCTGCTAATATGGAATACATTTCTTGCGGCTGCTTGCATTTTCTTCTTTTTTTATTTCCCTCTGCATCTATCGTGTGTTTCAGACGGTTATCACCGGCTCGTATATATCGCGCTCACGCGCATTTCGTGCGAGTATTTTAGCGAGAACGTGTCTCTTCACCGCAAAAGCGAACAGAGAGAAATAGAGAGAAAGAGAGAGAGAGAGAGAGAGAATTTTGCGTTTTCGAATTTATGTTTTTTGTTATAATAATTTGATCGTAAAGTTTATACCGTGAGTCAAATTTCGAAAGGATGCATCTTCTCGCGTGTAACGTCCCGCTCGAATGCGCTATAGGAGCCGGTGATGTACAAACAGTGTACGCATACATATATGACATATATCAGACAAATATATACGATATACATACATACATACATACATATGTATATATATTACTATATATGTATGTATGCATGTATGTATATATGTATGTACACACGCGTGCGCGCGTATACACACACACACATACATACATATACATACACACACACACACATATATATATATACATATATATATATTTAATTAGCCCTGCGATTCCATATTGTGTGTATTCTGTGAGAGGTATGTGTAATATAGGTGTGTGTAAGCGTGTATGTCGAAAGAAAAAAGCAGAAGAGGCGACGACGAAGCAGGAAGAAGAATAGCAGGTGGAGGAGGATGTGATCATGAAATGATGAGAATAGCGCGCTACTGTACATCAGTCTTAATATCAGGGCGCACCATTCCCGCTGATGTTCTCTTGCTTATCTCTCTTCGCGATTTTACACATCGCCGGCCTCGACAGAAAGAGAAAAACATAAGAGAGGGAGAGAGAGAGATCTTAGTAAGCGGCGTGACAAAAATGTAAATTAACTTAAATAATCCGTCTGAAAGTGTATCGCGGTTCTTTTCCTGCAAATCCACCGATAAACAAATGTTGCATGAACGAAAATTAAGAACCGCATTCAAATACGATTGTGGAGATCGTCGCGTAAAACGTTAAAACTGTGTGTGTGAATGCCTGTGAAACGCGATTTGAAATAAAATCGAGAAAAAAAAAAAGAGAGAAAAAAAAAGAGAGAAAAATATAAAACAAATCATTAAAATCAGCAAAAATGCAACGATGCAAAACGCAACAGAAGAAATTTCTCTCGCGAAATTTACGACTCTTCGCGACGACTTCTTCCTTCCGAAGCCGGCGACGCTCGAGAAAAGGCCGATGCCCCTCGTGCACGAGCAAAC